TTTTTTTATTAAGAAGATTAGGTATACACAGCAATGTGCTGCTACCCTAGTCTATATGGAATATTAGTGTAGATAAAAAAACTAGCTATAAATTTATCTAATACTCCCATCTCACAGGATGGTTAGACATACTGTACATGGAATCAATTTAGAAAATACCAGCCTCAATACAAAAAACAAATCAACTCTGACTAAACAACTCTAAGCAATTTTCACAAGAGGTAAGCACTGAATCATGGAAACATTATATTATAATTACTCTTACCAGTTTCTACAAAACTCCTCTCAAACAATGTATTTTTAAACATGTTTAGGTATACACAGCAATGTGCTGCTTCCCTATTCTGTATAAAGGACCACACAGTGTAGATCAAAAACCAGCTACAAGCTCACCCAACATCCTCACCTCACAGGATGGCCAGTCATACATGGAATTAGGAGAGAACAAAATACTTAATGCTGATCTATTAGCCTCCACTGGCAAAATCTGGGTGCAGCACAAGAATATCTTCCAATATTCCTGAGTGTATGAAGTAATTACAGAGCTCAAAATACCTCATACCATTTGGTATGAAGTCACTGATAACAGGACAATCACAGATATAGTGTTGGAGAGTATGTTCTCTCAAGTAGGACTGAAAACAGATGTTTTTTTTCCCACCAAGAGGACTATAAACCCATGGAACCGCCTACCCGCTGAAGCCGTAAATGCCAAATTCCAGCTAAAAAATATCATTAAGACAATTGGCAGGCCCTTTAACAAGCCGCCAGCTTTCTGTCCTCTTCGAGGTCACTAGATAGTTAGTGGCCCTTGGGTAAATTCAGTAAATATATACAATAATTGTTGGCGCATCTTCCGAGCAACAAGGACAGCTACACAGTATCTCTTAGAATTACGTAGGTAAACAACAAATGTAACATACTGTATTTGTTTACTACAATGTCGGTGCTGGCTGTAGAAGTTGAAAAAACATTGTTTTACTTCAAAATATACTAATTTTATAAGAAAATTCGACGTAAATAGGAGGCAGTAGAGCTCCGATAAGCCAGCGCTAAATCTTTAATATGAAGAATGTTGCTGCTCTCTGATTGGCCAAACGAAACACAGTAGTGACCTCTATCGGCACGCAGGTGAACCAACAATTTTCTTCCTAAGTATACCTTATTGAATCGCACCTAAGCATCTTCTTAGGGCGCACTTAGGAACCTTCGTAGCAAACCCACTTACGAAGAAATACACAGAGCTTCCTGAATCTAGGTCCTGGCATCTGAGCAGTGCCTTTAGTAAACTCAAGCTCTGGCTAAGGTGAGCAACTGAGATGGCCATGCTCAGAAGTTATTTTCTCTGTGAATTCTCATTCTTGAAGTTTGGAGAGTGATCCTTAACAAACCCCCTTTTTTTATATCTGGAACATATTTTGGTCATCATGCTATAATGAATGCAAAAAATACATATGTAGTTAATTACTACATATGTATTTGTATGTACTTAAAAAATATGTAGCTTTTTACAGGGGCAGAGCAACAGGTGGTAACTCTTGTACAAAAATGGCAAAATTTATCAAATAAAATCAGCAGAAAAGTATGACCGATACAAATGTTTTTATAGTTAAAGAAATTAAAAGCGGCAGAATATGCTTGCAAAGATTACAAAGGTGAAGACTTCTTAATCCTAGTAAGCAGCAAGAAATCACACACACTCTTGTAGACTCTGAGATAAATATATGTATGTTCTAAGAATGTCATACACAAACAAGGACTGTTGAATATTTTACTATTTATTGTAGAAACATTAAACAGTAATCGTAATGTAAGTTTATATACAGGCATACCTCAGAATAAGAGTTTAATCCGTTCCTGGAGACGCCTCGCATTCCGAAGTTAATTTCCCCATAAGAAATAAAGGGAAATGAATTAATCCGTTCCTGACTACCCCAAAAACCCCACATCAAACTAAATTTTTATACCTAATTTACCTAATTCATCTAAATAAACCTACAAAACTGTGTTCCAGTTATTACTTACCTTGCTGTCGAGTGCTGTAGGCGTATGGAAGATGGTGAGGAGGGGGGAGGAGGAGAGGAGTTACTGTTTGGAAGGGGAGTCCCCTTCCATAATCACATCACATAACCCCATGCCTTGTAACACTATGGATACCACTTCTCTTTCTAAATTTTTCAAACCAGCCCCTGCTTGCCTTAAACTCTTTCTTATCTGCATCACTCGTTGCAGGGGTATTCTTTAGAAGGTCTTCGTGCAACACCCTGGCTTTCTCACAAATAATGGCCTCCGAAACACTATCACCCCTCAACTCCTTGTCGTGTATCCAAATTAATAACAACTTTTCCACTTCTTCAAGTATTTGTGGTCTTTGTGCCGTTAATGTTCTTACTCCTTTTGCCACTTTAGCACCCATAATCTTATTTTTCTTCTTAAGTATAGTGCATATTGTTGATGTGGCTTTGTTGTACTGCCTACAAAGTTCAACAACACGTGTACCGTTCTCATGCTTCCGAATGATCTCTTGTTTCTCCTCTATTGTCATCCTCACAGGAGCTTTCTGGCCTTTATCCTTACCACTGGCTTTCTTGGGACCCATGGTGAGATTAACAAATTGTATAGACAAATCACCAAAAAATCCAATAAAACACTGAAAATCCGCGAGAAGAATTGATGTGGGGGTAGTCACTGAGCGCCACACAATAATAAACTGAGGGGCGGCGGGGCGGAGGGGCGACGAACGCGCTAGGTCGGCTGTACGCGTATCAACAAACTCGCGTCCAAACTCGCCTCCCGAAGTAACCCTCGCCTTCTGAGACAAATTTTTGGAGTAAATACACCTCGCCTTCCGAAAACCTCGCATACAGGGACAATCGCATTCCGAGGTACCACTGTATTTATAAAAATATTTAATTATACAAAATTTCTTCATTGAAATAAACAATGAAGAAATTGTCAGCAACTGGCACTCGTCTCACACCACAGGCCCTTCGAATTGCTGTGACTCTCCACCTCGCTGCCCCAATCCACACCGAATACAGGTGTATTTGCAGCGAGGCAGTGGCCGACAGGTACGGACGGCATGGCCTTCTCTGCCAAAGGACAGGACTATGGCATGCAAGACACGGCGAGGTTAACGACATTATCAAGAGAAGCCTTACTATGGCCGATTGTCCAGCAGAGAGAGAGCTCCGTTACCTATTGCCCCGCAACTCTGATGAGCCTGTCAGTCGCCCAGACGGGATCACGGTGAACCCCTGGAAGAATGGTTGACAGTTGGTGTGGGACTACACTGGTGTTTCAACCTTAGCCAACACCTATGTTAACTTCAATGCTGCACAGGCAGGAGGTGCTGTCAATCACTGGGAAGCAACGAAGTCACGTAAATACGGAGACCTTGATCACCACTACAATTTTGTCCCCATTGCCTCAGAGACACTTGGTGCCTGGGGTAAAAGTGCTGCAAGTTTTTTGAAGGAGCTGGGGTCCAAGCTAATTGAAACAACTAGAGACCCTAGAGCCGCCAGTTTTATCTTTCAGCGCCTTAGTGTGGCGATCCAGAGAGGAAATGCTCACTGCATCCATGGTTCCTGCCCGCCGTCTGAGGAGCTGGAGGAGCTATACAACTTGTGACAAGAAGTCTTGTACCTTGCATGTAACCAATGCTGTAACTCCTTTTTGTGTAATGAAATTTGCAAATAAAGTTAGATATATATACATGCATACTAAAAGAATAGGGGTGGTAAGAGAAGAAAATATCAAAGTGTTCAGCGAGGATCCACAAGGTCTTCTCTGAGTACTCATTAATTCCTTCTCTGAGGCTATGGGTCCCTACACTTGCACCAGAGGTGGTACCCCTTTTAGGTTTTATATTATGGGAAATCTATTACAGGTACAAAATTTTCCATAAAATATTTTATCCATACTCAATTATTTTAATTACTGTATAGAGTAACCCAATTCTAATTATTTTTTCCACATACTTAAATTATCCTTCTATAAACTTCCTTAAACTAATAAAATCTTATTAACAAAACTGTACACCAATTGATCACTCCTCAGAATATCCAGCTTAAGGTGATACACCTTAAAAAACCCTACAACAGTGGGTCTTGACCGTTCACTGTCGGTACCATAAACTTATATTTTCCCAGCACATCATTTCAACATCAATGATTTAAACATGTCAAAAAAGGTAGACTGTATGAGTTAAGTGTTCTTGACAGTCCTAATAATTGAGGTTACAACAACTAAAATAATTAATGCTGACAGCAAAAATAACAAAACTGGCAGGTAATTATATTCAAGATAACTGCCCAAATACACAGGTAAACAATTATAAAAAGAAAGTACTCAACCAATATGGCTGTATAGCACTGTCTGCTGTACAGAATATTCAAGTTCCTAGATATCATTCAGGATGTAAATCTGAGAGCAGAAAGACACATGTCAAGTGACGTCAAAGGAATTTGATTCACCAAGGATTTTATCTCGATATATGATAAAAAAAAAATACTGGAAAAGCAAAATTTATAATATTGAAAATCATGACATCCTAAGGAGATGAGCGACAGCATAACAGTGCAGATCTGACAGTAATATGCAGGTCTTGATTCCCCTATGTAACCATGAGTTAACCTTGTGTGGCCAATATAGAATCTAGCAAGAGATATTTTCAATTTCTTATGTCAGTGACAGGAAGAAAGCCATGGGGGGGATAGGTCATATTTGATACAAGTAATATGTTATTTGTAGTGGCTAATCAGAAATTATTTAATTATAGAAAGAGTGATGTTAGTTGCACTGCACCACTAATGGAAACCAAACTGAGAAAGGGGGGCAATGATTTTGTTCCAAAAGTCACATAAGGTGCATGCTAAACATATATTCTTAAGCTTGCAGATGCAACTACTGTAGTTAGGTCAACTGGGCAACAATACGCAAGGAAATTACCCTTTGTATCCATTTTTGTTTAATTGGGAGGGAAATAAGTCGGCAGCTTAAGTGTCTTTAACATTCATTTAATATCCTCTGTCGAAATCTAATGTATTCTGAATAGGGAAACCCTGAGTATATCGTCTGAAGTTGGCAACAAAGGCCTCGGCAACATCCACAGCACGGCTAATCCCTGATGAATGTGGTGTTATCATCACCTGGAAGAAATGAGAGTGCTGAATTAAGGAAAAATCCAGTTAAAAAACATACAAGAGGCAGTTTATGGATAGGGCCCATATATCATCAGTGAATGGGTGGTTGAGCAGATAGGATGGGCTGATGGTTGAGTGGATAATTGTCAGTGCTTTCCTCAATATCATTACAAGGAGTGAGGTGTAACTCTTAGGCCTTGCCTCTGCTATTACATTAAAATACCTAGATGCTTGTACAGTTGCTGATATTCTAATCTTTACCATACTTGCCCTTTAAGTAATGAATTGAGGTAGTTTCCATAACTTATTTGAAGCACAGTATATTTGTTTACCTCCAGCACTAAATACAAGACTGCTCTTCCACTCAAATGAGTGGATTCACATTGGACCTCTTTCTGTACAATTTGGCAAAGTTTTCCCACCAATTGTTCTATACAATGGGGTATATAAGGCAACAGTAAATAAAGGCTTGAAGTGACTCAGACAGAGTGCACTATTATCTTTGCTTGGCCCCCTCATCACAGCTGGGGTTCATGGGAATCTGAGATAAACCTACAACATGAGGTTTATCTAATGTTGTAGGTTTATCAACAAACCTACAACAAATCGTCAACACCAATAAAAGAAACACTTAGAACTCAACATTGTATAAACTAAAAAAAATTATAGTGTATAAATTATAAACAAAAATTAAAAAACTTAAAAACTCAACACTGTATACAACTAAAAATTTTATAAAACTCTAATTGTGACCATTCCATTAGCACATTTTTCTGTGTAGTCAGCTCATAACCATATGGTCTTGGTTGAAAATCCCTGGCAGGATGAGACATTTGGTCACATTTCCTTACATTTGATGCCTCTGTTCACCCAGCAATAAATAGGTACCCAGGAGCTAGGTAACTGTTGTTGGTTGCATCCTAGAGAATCTTGTCACTGTTCTAGGGGGACACCTTTGTAAGTCTAACAGGCTTCCTGTCCCTAACAATGGAAAACTAAATCTATAAGTCTATGAATTAGCTAATCAGCACCAAAATGACTGCCCTGAATGCCACAAGGTGATGTCCTCATGTAGTGACATACAATATGCTTTTCCAAAAGGACGATCATGTTTGACAAATTAACCCAGTAATATTATGAGACCTTTACTGTTCACCATAAGCATAAATGGCATAGATACTGTAGTGAACAGGAACATTAGTAAATTTGCCAAAGAAATTAAAACATTAGGAGTAATAAATTTAGAAAGAAACAAATGTTACAAAAGGATCTAAACAGACGTTTAAAATGAATTGAAAATTGGCAGATGCAGTTAAATACTAAGAAAGGCAGAATTCAAAGCTCAGGAAAAGCTAAACAGATGTACCAGATACAGGCTAAACAATAGTTCAAGTGTGAAAAAGATCAGGAAGTCATGGTTAGTATGTTTCTGAAATCAAGAAGTCAATGCATAAATGTTGCAAGAAAAGCTAATAGGGTGCTAGGATTCATATAAAAACACAGTGGTAATAAAAAACTCTGTTATCCTTCACTTGCATATTGCTATCAGGAGTCCCCACTTGGATTGTGCATTACAGTTTTGTTCACTGTATTAAAGGGCAGATGTAAATTCTCTGATAAAATTAGATAAAATACATTGATAAAATAAATTGGCAAATGCTAATTTGGAAAAAGCTGCTGCTGATCTGCTGAACAAGTTACCAAGTAACATTATAAAAGTCACAACACTAGAAAGCTTCAAACATGCGCTGGATATAAATAGAAGCTGCCTCACATGGGCCAGTAAGTCTTCTAAAGGGTCCTTTATTCTTTTGTTCCTACACTGTATCCTACATTACAGAAACTTTACTATACAAGGCAAACCTTTGGGTGCTTCCAAAGAAGACTTTCTGGCGACAATGGTTCCTGAACAAATACATCGAGTATTGCAGCTGATATCCATCCATAATCAAGAGCTTTGATGATGTCGGCCTCATTGATGACATCCCCTCTGCCAATGTTGATGAATACTGCATCCTTCCTGTAGAATACAGCTCAGTATCAATTACAGTGACAAAAATGCAAGGCAGTGTACTATTTTTCTGATTACCATGGATATTTCAAAAGCTTGATTCAAAACTTTTTTTTCCTGTAATCATCTTACTACTTCCCCTAGTACCTGAAACCTTCTATCATATATTGCAGAGGCAGATGTAGACAGAGTGAGGTTAGATAAGACCCTCCTAAAAAACCAGCACTGAATGTAATGAAATGCCTCTTTCTTTTGGGTTATTGGTGGCTCCTTGTTGCTAGGTACCTGGGTACCTCCACCGAATTCAAATCATGTCACTGTAATTAATTTGTCTTTGCGAGTCAACTTAAAACTTACCATGAACTAGAAGCCAAAACCTGGCTCCCTTTACAGAGGGACAAGGAACAGGGAATACTACATCCCCTTAACCAAGAAACAGGTACCAGAAAGATGGGTGAGCCAATACAGACAATCAGCAAAATAAACAAAGTATAGGAAACAAAAAGACCATAGCAGAGTGAATCGCCCATTCATGAAGCAGTACACTCGTTAATTACAGTACAGTGGGACTGTAATTAACGAGTGTACCTCGATTTACGAATGCCTTACGAATTACTTACGAATTTTTTGAGTTACGACCCCAATTTTGTCGGAAAATTCGACTTGACTTATGACCTTTGCCTCGACTTGCGACTTTGTTGATACACATATGGGTTGACGGAGCACATGGTTTTTGGTGGCATGGGCGATCCCACTTCAGTTCACCAGACCGCCCGCTTAGTGATGATCGGGGGCGGGCGATCATCCATTATAACATCAGGCAGTGATGACTTTTCTGGGGTACTCTCCTACATTTTGCCTGCATACCACTAGGACCTGCTTGTGGCTCACTACTTTTTTTCTCACTAAAAACCTGTCTAGCGACACTTCTTTTTCCCTACGTTGGAACACTTGTCTGAAGTGAGACATCACAGTGTCGTTAAAAAGGTTAACACAATGGCCTGCTACAGCTTGATTTGGGTGACACTTTTCAGCAAAACTTTGTAATTCTTCTCATACTGCACACATTTTCTTAATAAATGAGGAGGGGACATCCTCTATTCTACATCAACAATCATCATGCCATTTTCATGTTTACAAATGATCTCTTGTTTTTCCTCTATGGTCATCCTCACATGTGTTTTTTTTAGGTTGAACCTTATTACTGACTTTCTTCGGACCCATGGTATGATATGTAATTATTACTTTTATGTTCAAAAAACAAAAAGCACAAAAATAATTAAATTCTTTACAAACACGATCATCACTAAGTGGGCGGCTCTAGTAAACTGAGGCGGGGTCGGCCGTGCCACCAGTTACCATACAATCGGTTGACCCATACGTGTATCAACAAAGTTGCTAGTCGAGGCAAAGGTCGTAAGTCACGTCTCACTTTCCGATGAAATTTACGTCATAACTCGAAAAATTCGTAAGTAGGGGCAGTCGTAAGTCGAGGTGCCACTGTACCTGTACCTAGGAGTTGTAAACTGTTGTGAGTTGTATCCTGGGAAAGGTCAGTAGTTTGACCTAGGGGAATACCTCAATATAAGCCTAAGTACAGGTTTCCTGTCCCTGGCAATGAAAATTATAAAGAAATAACCAGTATATTTTGTATCCTATAAAACCAACAATTGCTAATTCCTTGATGAAGGCTGTCTGTACTGCAAATCCCTGAAGTACTGATGTAAGTTTTGATTGAGATTGGATCCAAGTAAACTTATGAGTTGACATGATGCTTCTGATTCATGAAAGGCAAAGACATCTTCATCCAACACCGATAGCAGAAAACCATTTCAGAGTTTCAATACAATGTTTTGAGTAACATGAGTGGCAAGTGATTTTAACCATTTCTTATTCCAGGTTCCCAAGATCTGGTGCGCAGTTGTGTGTTGCCTCTTACCATGTCTCCAAATACAGTAAGTTTAAATTTTATGCAGCAGGTAAAGCTGCAGATAATAATGTTTAGGGGAAATTCATTAAACCATAAAAGCTTCCCCCACTGTCATTATGGTTAATATAATAAATACATTACATATTAAGAGAACTTTTTCATGTAATTATAATTTGTATATAGTTTTCAAGTTGTTGCTTAATTTTTGAATGTGGCCCAAATCAAGGTTCAAGCTTTCTAGTAAGGAATACTGTATATCTAATACTCAACCTGCAACTGAGAATTGGGTTACAAACAAATACAGTAAAAAGTAAAAATTATACAATGCTAAGACAATAATATATAGTCTAAAGAATATATAGACTACAAAGTTATATGTCATTCTATGTGAAGGCCCAAAAAATGTAAGAAAAAAGCCATAGTGTAGTCTCTGATGATATCTCAAACAATTTTTTTATTTACAGCAGCTTATTATTTTTGACCATGGGAAAACAGGAATTATATTAACTAGCAGCTAATGACTTTACTTTAACCTTACTTTGCATCTTTCAGGGTGTCGTTTCCAAGCATTCCTCTTGTTTCTGGAGTAGATGGCATGATATTAATCATATAATCACACTGTTGCAAAAATGACAACAACTCCCCAGTGTGCCTGAAATATATAAAACTCAATTAACATTTATAAACAATGTTTTTAATTTGAAAGTAGAAGTCTGAGAAAAGTATTGGATCTTTGTGGCAACATGATCTTCAAGAATGCTCTATACCACATAGGACATCATGACACCTACCTCATAATTAAGAGATCACTCACCCCCATCACTCTAATCCTCCCATACTTCACTGTTGGGCATCTTCCATACATGTCATCCTCTGCAGATGTCCAAACAATCAGGGAACATTTCATTTTACCCACTCTACTACAATATACATTACATCACTGACCAACTCTGCCTATCCCGCACATTTCCTACACTTCTCTATTATTTGCTTCTATTTATTTACTCTACATCCATTATTTAGGTCATCATACAAGCCCACTTTACATATATAATAATAATATTACTTTTCTCTCACAATCCTCTTTTAGGAACCCAATCATTTGTTTCCCCTTGTATTAATCCTCATATTTTCCATGGTAGGTTCTATTTTCCTAAATTAACATTGAAACATTTAAGATCATGCCTTCTCATTCCAACCACTTACCTTGTGGCTCCTCCTTAAGATCTGTGATGTTAACACAATATCTAAGCAAAACCAAATTTCATATTCTGCACAATATTATCAATTAGTATGACAATTTCTTCTAGCTCACTCTCTCATATTCCTTAATATTTCTAATATTGTTTTGACAACCAATGTCACCAACATTAAAAATGCATTTACATATTTCATAAATCCTTAAAATATTTGTTATTTTGATAGCATTCAGCATTTTACAATAATAATTATAAATCATAATAATCTTTATAATAATGATAATGTTATAATAATAATAATAACAGTAATAATAATAATAACAGTAATAATAATAATAATACAGTAATAATAATACTGTAATAATACAGTAATAATAATACAATAATAATAATAATAACTAATAATAATTTAATTATACAAATCAAGCACTGAATATAATGAAACTCCCCTTTCCTGGTAGGTTCTCATGAGCTCACAAGTGCTAAAGAGCTGCTATTGCTAAGCATTAGGATCATGCCAAGCCTCAAAGATAAACGCTGATCTACTGGAAGTCGGAATCAGAATCTGGGTCTCTGAAAGCAGCTAGGGGAAACTTGGGGATTAGAGACCTTGGGGTTTAGACCTTTCCTTCCCTACTTTTATTCAGCAGAATAAAGCATTCTCTAATATCTGGCCTTCTCATTATCTGCAGAGCTCTGGTTCTACAGACCAACCAGAGCTTCTAGCATCTTCATCTCTACAGAGATGAAGGTGCTAGATTTCTTGGCTGTGGCTGAGTTTTGGGTTTCTTCTTTATATACTGGTATATGATTCTTCATTTGTTAACCACCATGAAAAGGGCTGGCGAGTTTCATTCCTTACTTTGGCATTCACATTTCATTGCTTTTGTGAGAGGGGCTCTTAATAATTAATAATAATAATGATTCACTATGTTGGGGAACAGGAAGCCAGAGCGTTTTTATACACGTTTAGCTTTTATCCAGGTCACCCGCCCCAAGGCCGAATTACGGACCCCGCCAAGGATGCAACCCCACAACAAGCTGACTAACTCCTGAGTACCTACTCACTGCTAGGTGAACAGAGGCATTAGGTGAAAGGAAATGTACCCAACCATTTCTGTCCCACCTCGTATGTGTATCACAATAACTATCCAGGTTTCCTTGGGAAAATAAAACTTCAACTTTTGCCTATTGTTATCCAGGCATGGTTTGCACACCCTGGGATCCATCACACTCTTTGCCCAGTTGTGGCAATATCTTGTGGCCTCGTATTAGGTCACCATAGAACATCTGTTAATGAATCCTAGGCCACTGTTACCATGTACCAAGGTGCACTAATCCCAACTGTTGTGGCAACTAGTTAAGTACAGTAATCATGAGGTGTGCTCTTGAACAAATGATTTATAAATGTATGCTACTTTCACTGCATTCTCCTTTGCCATGCCATGCATAAAGATTAAGAGTTTGGCACTTTGGTTCCGACTGCACTTTTGCTGCAAAAAAATCTACTCAGACTTTCCCGTATAGATAGTGTGTTGTCCTTAGCCGACTCTCCTCCTGGTGACCACAATTGGAACTTATGCTGTACTAATGCCTGTACCTTCAGATTCCTCTAGCTGGGTAGCATTCCTTGTAACAGCATGCTACCTTGAGGTTACCTTACCTTAAGATAATTTCGGGGTTTAGTGTCCCTGCTGTCCAGTCATCGACTAGGCCTCTTCGTTGCTAGACTGGTGAGCCAGGATTGAACATGGCTGCTCGCAGCCTGACATACGAGTCACAGTCTAGTTGATCAGGTATCCTTTGGAGGTGCTTGTCAAGTTCTCTCTTGAACACTGAGGGGTCAGCCGGTTATGCCACTTATGTGTAGTGGAAGGGCGCTGAACAATCTCAGGCCTCTGATGTCGATAGTTCTCTCTCAGAGCACCTACTACACCTCTGCTTTTCAATAGGGGTATTCTGCACATCCCACCATGCCTTCTGGTTTCATGTGGTGTTATTTTTTGTGTGCAGGTTAGGGACCAGCCCCTCTACTATTTTCCACGTGTAAATTATTATGAATCTCTCTCACCTGCGCTCAAGAGAATGCAGATTTATGCACTTTCGTCGGTCCCAATAGTTTAGATGTTTTACTGAGTGGATTCTAGCAGTAAAGGAACTCTTCATGCTCTCCAGGTCAGCAATTTCTCCAGCTTTGAAAGGGACTGTCATTATGCAACAGTACTCCAGTCTAGAGAGCACTAGCATCTTGAAAAGTATCATCATCGGTATAGCATCTCTAGTGTGAAAGGTTTTTGTTATTCAACCTGTCATTTTTCTTGCAGATGTGACGGCTACTTTATTGTTCTTTAAAGGTAAGGTCTTCCTACATGAGTACACCAAAATCCTTTACATTGCCTTTTTGTTTTATGTTATGATTTGACTTCGTTTTGTGTGTGGTTTCCGTTTTTATATTTTCATTTTTTCCACAGCATGCTATGGACATAGCATGGTGTGGACATTTCCATAGTGTGCTATGGACATCTTTCTGTAGAAAAGGTCAGTGTTTTTCCAGCTCGTTTTTTTTCTGATTGTTTTAGATGTTTTACTTTAGGGAACAGTTGGATATAAGCAATCAGACATAAGGCTTTGGACATTTGTGAAATGCTCCTTTGTGAGCTGTATCATTCAGCTGCTGCATATTCTCTTCCCCCCTTCTCCTGTGTGAGATGCTTAGTTAATCAGAATGTGTGTGTGAGTCGATTCAGAGAACCCTGGGATAAGCAGGGTGCTCCCACCTGGTGGTGACTGGTGATATTGACCAAGCAACCCATTCGGTAGTAAGAGCCCTCATATGGCAGTCTCCTGTGGTAACAAGTGTGGGTTTGGAAGAGCTTATTCAATGGAAAGGTCTCCTAAAGATCATAATCCCAAGCTGGACTGAATATTTCTCCAGTGACTTCCTCTGCACAATATGAACATACAGAGATGCTTGAAAATTCCCTGCAGTGTTATGATATGTTACCCTAGTCTGACTGCATGAAAGTAGTGGGATCTTCAAGGAGCAGCTGAATGATATGGCATAGAAAGAAACTATCCACAAAACCTCAAAGCCTCATTACTACTTAACATTAGGAGACCCAAGTCATGTTTATTAAAAATAAAAGTTAAATGCTTACCAATATTTATCCACATTATTGGACTTGTTCTCCACAGTGGGTGCGGTGCGGGTGTAGGCATGCACTGTAGTATTGAAAGATTTTAAGGACCTGGCCACTGAAAAAAAATTGTAGAAAGTAGAAATTTATTAAAAAATAATTTAGGACACATTAAACCATGGTCAACTAACTTTGGACCAACTTACATGTACTGTATTATCAAAACAAACTTTCTGTCTGCTAGGTATATTTCAGAATAATTTTTAGATTACTGTATAATGTGCTACTGAGGTGCTATGCTGTAATTATTTAAGAATGACTGGCAGCTTCTAAAACATGGTTCCAAAGTTGAGATCAAATATCATAATGATAATAGGTTCTTCCATAATTTATATTGGACTGGCAAACAAGAATTAGAACCCAGGTTCCCAACCAATGGGTTGTGATCCCATGGGAGGTTTTCTGAGTATTATAAAATAGCGGTACTCCCAAAAAAGGCTGAGAGCTACTGAAATAGAAGAACCATGCCAGTGAGACTGGTAAGAATGTGAAAAATCAAGAGTTAGAGCAGCAAAAAATAAACAATCCAAGAAGTATGCATAATGACATGAGAATAGATGGAATAAGGAATTCCAATATCATGAGAGACAGCAAGTGTAAAAGTTAATAAACTGCAAGACTGAAGCGAGAGCATATAGAGATAGTTTTAACATGTTGAATGAAACGATGATGTCATAAGATGGTTGGAAAAAAAGATATGCAGACATGGAGTGTGTGAGGAAACAGAGAGACAGCATGCACAGCATATGATATGGTAATGGACAAAGCTGGATGAAAGTGGTTAGTAAAATAAAAGTGAAAGCATTCATATGCAATGAATATGACAATTCATGAGAAGCACTGTACACCTGGACTATATGAAATGATAGGTTGCTACTGTGGATGACTGAAGTATGTTAGTGATTGTTTATTGGTAATGCTTCCAACATGTTGACTGCCTGTTGTTGGTTCCAGAGAACAACGTCCACCACCATCTGGTCTCTGACCAGGCCTCCTGGTTGGTGGTCTAGTCAACCAGGCTGTTGGATGCAGCTGCTCATAGCTGTATTTGTGAATAATATAATGACTGGACACGTGATACTTTTCTTGGATTTTTGTTGTTGTTATTTAAGAGCCATAACGTTTTATTACATTACTCACCTTCTCATGGGGGAGGGGGGTGATGCCTCCTCACCTTATGAAATGAAATGGTATTAATATTGTACATAAACAGTACGGTACAGATGTGTAGGTTGGGTCTCAAACCTCAAGACCTCAAACAATCCAGATAAAGAGCTTACTGTATATGAGCTAAACTTATTGTAATGTAAACTACCTCCTTACTTACCCTCTTTACCAATTATTCCCATGCCTAAAACACCTACTGCCAATTCCCGCAGGCTGCGGTAATTGACAATATTGCCTTTATGTCCCCATTCACTTTTCAGCTGAAAAACATGAAAGATGAGAATATTTGATATCAAATAATGTTTTTATCAGTGATATGTTCCAAGTGTAACAAAAGCTTCCAACTGCTAAATTGAATTTGTAACAAAAACTGAAAGAATATCGACAGTGGAATTTTGTTATATACAGTAAATTGAAATTCCAAAATTTGCTAGTGGTAATAATAACAAACAGTAGTGAAATCTTACCTGGTACATCCTACAATCCAACAAACCACGTTCATGGCTAATGATCCACCCAACAGCATATTCTGCCATGAGCTGACTGAAGCTTTCACTAGCCATACGAGTAATTGGGAATGTAGGCCTTGGCTGCAATAAATAAAGTGCTGAATGTAATGAAATAACCTTTCCTAGTGAGGTCATCAGGAGTTTCCTGATCCAAATGCTGTCCAGTCAAGCCTTAGGGAGATATACTGTACCAGGCCTACCCTTACCTACTGAAAGCCAAGAGCAGAACCTAGCTTTCTCTATGTGAGAGGAGTTTGGGGAATCAGAAATGAACCCAAACCCAAGAAAAATAACAACACCAGATAGCATATGTGCAAGAAAACAAGTCACTGCTTGAAGAAATTAGATACCTTCAGGTAACAGGCAAGATTAGGGTGTTTAAGATTAGGGTTCAGGTAGATTAGGGTGTTTACACTGTGGTAACTGTGATGCCCCTGACTGCCATCAGGTGGCAGTTCAGGTAACCCTGGGAACCAGATGGCCCATATTTTGGTGGAGTTTTCCTTAATTATTGATATCTGATCTCCAAGCTTCCCCCCTCACCTCATAGTAGAGATTACAGTGGAACCTCGGGTCACGAACGTCCCTCTTTACAAATTTTTTCAAGTTATGAGCTCAATTTCTTCGTAAAATTTGAATTGATTTACAAGCTTTGCCTAGCTTTACGAGTTTGTTTGCTTTACACAAATGGGTCGACCGAGCGAGTGGTTCCTGGTGGCATGGGCGACCGCGCTTCAGTTTACCAGTGCCTCCCGCCTAGTGAAAACGCACCTGAATTCTTTGTAAAGAATTTCATTTGTTCAGCATTTTTAGTTTCTAAACATAAAAGTAATTATTATATACCACACCATGGGTCCCAAGAAAGTCAGTGGTAAGGTTCAACATAAGAAAACACATGTGAGGATGACCATAGAGGAAAACAATTCTCTATGGAAAGGTTCTTAGTGAGACAAACAAGTAGTGAGTTACAACCAGGTCCTAGTGGTATGCAGGCAAAACGTAGAAGAGAGGGTACCCCTAGAGAAGTCATCACTGCCTGATATTATAATGGAAGGGGACTCCCCTTCCAAATCCTGACACCTCTCCTCTTCCCTCCCACCTCACCGTCTTCCATACACCAACAAGAGTCATCAATAAAGATAAGCTATAAATTGTACATACTATAGTACAAAATATTTGTGTGTATTATGTATGAAATGTATTTCAAGTTAATATTTTTGGGAGTGTGGAACGTATTAATTCAATTTACATTATTTCTTAAGGAAAAAATTTGTTTCGGTTTGGAAATTTTCGATGTATGAGCCATCTTTGGGAACGGGTTTAATTTGAAAACCAAGATACCACTGTAGTAAGAAAAAAATTCAACAAAGTCTTGTAATATGTTTAATGATCAATCATACCGTCTCTGGGAACGGATTAAACGTTCCCTGGGCCCAAAATTGGGAAGGTACCTGACTGTAACATAAGGAGTCTTATCATACAAATCAGTTTGCAATAGACCATTTCCCTACACTTCCGGTAACAAACATTTGTAATAAAGTTGATGGTGGTGTCAGAAACTATTACTGATTTAAATTTAAGTGATAGCCATGAAAAATCACCAATGGACACGACACTTCCCCAATTTCTATTGGTGACCACTTTGTGGATTACCCCTACCTACTAACCCCACCTCCTAGAATTCTTCAATAAATTTCTGCAAGCAAAGATCTGTAATACACTTTTGATGTTATATCCACTTGATTTAAGGACCTAAATGGGGATATTGTACTTATATCCTATTCATTAAATTTGGCACTCCACTAAACCCAGTGGTATTAATATGTTGTTAACTTATTAAATAATATTCGAGAGGGTACCAAGTCAATGACTCTGTAAATAAGGCGCCAGTTACTGGTGTCAAATTCAGCCATTAAACCATCGTACTGGTAAATCAGAGGTCCTTAAATCGAATGGAATGTAAATTAATATTATATGCAGTATCATTTTATATACAGAACACAAACAAATATTTTATTTAGGAAAGAGAGAAGATACAGTAAGAGAACTTTTAGATATTTTTGAACATTACTCTAGATTCACATACTGTACAATATTATTACTGCTCTACCCAAATTGGCACCACACAATTTTACAGACAAATTCCATGCACAGATTGAGGAACATCTGTACAGTACTCTTCCTTTGTCTATCTATCATACCTGGACAAGAAGACTGTTGTCTACTAAGAGTATCTCTGCCTCCTGAAGAGCAGCCACTTCCTCTTGCAAAACTTTTTTGGGATATTTCCCATCAATATTTCCTGTTGAAGTCAACCATTTATTTGCAAATCACATCTTTAATGCAAAAAATCTTCCAAGTTATAACAAAATTAGTTATAAAATAATTAGCAATGATCCATAATCATTGGAACCAAGGTGTTCTAATTAACACATCTATACCTATACGAGAGAATGTCTGTCTGTCTGTCTGTCTCTTTGTCCAAAGTTGGGGGTTAGCTTTAACCAAATTTGTAGGGGAGGATGTCTGGGATACAGGATAGACATAAGCTGATCTGGGAAGGACTAAGTTATATGCTTTATGAAATATTAGCAATTATAATCACCTCTAGGCCAGCAAAGTTTTACACATTGTCCCCATGCACTCTGGTTGTGGTCTAGGAGTTCTACCTCCAACACTACTCTTCAAATACAAAGAAATCACAATAACATGATGTATCAATGAGAAAATCAGTAGGAGCCATGTGGAGGATTTGAACTTGCACTCTGGGCACTCCCAAGGACATGCCTTAGACCGCTGCACCATGACATGGTCAAATGCAATGCGTGAAACCATTGCATTTGACAGCATTAGAATATGATGTCATAGTGATACCACACACCTTCTTGAGATTATCTTGAGATGATGTTGGGGCTTTGCATCCCTGCGACCCAGTCCTGGACCAGGCCTCCTTTTTGTTACACATCCCCATGAAGCTGCCCATAGCAGCTGTCTAACTCCCAGGTACCTATTAACTGCTAAGTGAACAGAAGCACTAGGGTGAAAGAAACTCTGCCCATTTGTTTCCGCCTCCACCGGGAATCGAACCCGGAACCTCAGGACTACGAATCCAAAGTGCTGTCCACTCAGCTGTCAGGCCCCCCTCAAACCTGCACTCTGGGCACTACCAAGGACATGCCTTAGACCACTGAACCACGACATGGTCAAATGCAATGCGTGTGCATTGCAACCTTGTGCACACTATATATAAAACACAAAATGTCATCATTATTTTCCATTAAGTTACGTTTAGTTAGATTAGATTAGGATGAGTTGAGCTGGGTTTGTTTAAAGTGTAGTGGTAACACAGTCTGCGATAACTTTCACGGCCCTTTGACCCTACTTGAGGTATAGTCCAATTGTACACAGAATGATTTGACAAAACTCCTTTTTTGATTGCAAAAACCATTTATATCATTAGGTTAGGATGTATTATCTTAGGTTAAGCTGTGTTAGACTCAGTTGGGTTTGGTTAAGTTTGTTTGGGTCAGGTCATTTTTCTAATTGTGAAAATTGAATATATCATTAGATTGGGTAGGATTCGAGTGAACTGAATTGAATTGGGTTGGGTCCGCCGAGTAGGTTTTAAAATCTGCTGGCGAACAGTCTCTGGCATGAAGTCACTTGTATCCAAATAGGAAGCTTAACATATGGAACATATGGACACAGGTGGAAACTGCCTCCTGTGATACTACCCAAATGAGCCACAGAGACATTAGAAATAATTTTTTCAGTGTCAGAGTAGTTAACAAGTGGAATGCATTAGGCAGTGATGTGGTGGAGGCTGACTCCATACACAGTTTCAAATGTAGATATGATAAGAGCCCAGAAGGCTCAGTAATCTATACACCAGTTGATTGACAATTGAGAGGCGGGACCAAATAGACACAGCTCAACCCCCGCAAGCACAAATAGATGAGAATATAATGTCAACTACTTCCTGCCCATTAAAAATAAGATGTCACTGGCCAATTCGTACAATAACTGAAGTGTTTACCAATCAGCTTAACTTCCACTACTTCTACATCAGGAAGTTTCTCTCGCAAGAGGTATGAGAGGCGGGGAATGACGGAAAAAACGTGGACGGTTTTGCTAGCAGGCAGCATGATGCTCTCTCTCTCTCTCACGCCTGAGAGTGAGAGGCAGCATCCCGGCATCTGTTGTTGTTGTTGTCATTGGGTTAGGGGCAGCTACAGCACAGACACGTAGCTTCTCCATCGTTCCCTTGTGGGAAGAAATCTAAGTTAATTTTGTTTAATTTTGCCCCGAGGGGCGAATTTATTGGGCAGCACCACTCATCTTGTGAGTGAACATACCGCTATAGCAGCGTGTACAACACTCCCCAATAGGAAGAAAACCCGCTGGGTTGTTCATCCTGTCACTTGTACCCAGACACAGTTGGGACTTGCTTAACTGTCTCAAGTGAACAGCTCCTCAAACAAGAAGATTAACATGACAACCCTTAAAAGCTTACGTTATCTTGCGGGTGCAAAATGGGGGAATATTTTAAGAACAGTATCAATATTTGACAAATAGTGTTTTCCTAACTCAACAATGTAGGGTTTATTATGTCGCCTGCCGTACTTTAAACAGACAAACACACTGTAAGCCATGTGCTTGGCGACGAATCTTCACCAATTCCCCTCTCGGGCAAAATTCATCAACGTCTAGATGAGGCGACGCCTACCCTACTACCCAGGGTCTACCAAGATCCGCCAACACCCAGCACTTCTAGGCCAAGCCAACCCCGGACACAATCTCTCCTCCCGAAGAGCCATTAACCGGAAAACAAGAAGAAAATCTGTCAACGTCCCTGTGACCCCAGGGGATATGGACACCAAACACTGGAAAGCTGGCCGTCAAAAAAGGTGGTAAGGTAATCAAATATATAAATGTAACGCACATAAGAGGCAACAACTTCAAGCGCAAGTTACGCAGCGGGACAGAAAATAGGACATACTTTTTTATCCATAGTGTTATAAACTCATGTGACCGTCGAATTCGAAGCCGTAAATGTTATTACATTGCTTCAAAATCCAGTAGGAAAAATCCTCACGAACTTAGGGGAGATATTTGACCAGCCGGCGGTTTCAAGTCCCCGTCAAGGCCACAAGAGACAGTGGTCTTTAAGTAAATTCAGGTAAAACTCTCTTATGTGCCATTTTAGTACACGGGTTAATTCAAAGAAAATGTAACTCACTTTGAGAGTTCTAATACTGCTCATTCGTACTGAAAGCTGCAAACGTTCATGGGACCAAATGGAATTCACCTATGGATAAAGTAGTGTTCTGCGCTCGTCCTTAATTGAACATTTATTAAGGTAGGTAAGGAAATGTTCAGGAAAAAGCACTTACCCATTATGGATATATATAGCTCTTGGCAGGGATGTGAGGACAAGCTGGGGTATGAAGACATACAAAGGTCTTTAGGAACTGCACTCTAAAATTTGTAAAATATGTTTTACAGCTAGGTAAGTTACCACAGTAATGACTTACAATTCAATTTCTTTATTATGCACTCCATACCCATCCCGTGGGCGGTGGTGTAAAGGATTACAGAGGCACATAATCGGTTCAGGAACTGAACATTTGTTATTTTAGCAGTCCCCGTGGGGCAGTGGTAAGAATCTCGCCCGGCGCCTCGCGAACGTTTTGGCCTGGGTTCGTATCCTGCAGTGTAGCCTCTGTTCACCCAGCAGTGAATGAGAACCTGATTGTTAAACGATTTAGCAGTTCGTGATCTGGGGAAAATTTTGATTAAGGACGTGCCTGAAACGATATGCGTACGAGTGGTTTTACAAGAATGTAAGAACTCTTTTATGTATAAAAAAAAAACATACGACACTACACACTCTCACGTGTACTTTATATAAAACACTGAAATGCTTTATTAATCCTGACCTCAAACACCTCCTAGAGTGCTGTAATAAAATCCATGGGTACCACACGAGAAACATATATTTGATATTCCTAGAATGTTACTCAACCAAGGTAGAAATTAAATGCAAATAATAGGCCCGAAACTGTGCAACGAAAACTCTACTTCTCTCAACGAGTTTAAAAGAGAAAGCCATAAATATTTAATTAATATGTACAGTAATCATCTCACTTATTTTTTCCTCATCGTAAATGAAGAAAAAATTATTTGCTGTCGTTATGAATTAAATGCTTTATATGTAGTGTTGCTAAAACGACAGATTCTGTGATAAAAGTAGCCTATTCCTATTATTTGGGACCATTTCTTTCCTCTATGTCATCCTAAATGCTCATCATGACCCATTCCAAGGGTCATATAGTCGTAATGGCTTAACGCTTTCTGCTGAAAGTCCCCTTCCCATCCTGGGGATTTTTTCCTGGTGAATTTTGAACTCGTCTTATGTAGGAAATAAATATCCTTTAAAAGGACAACATCGAGCAAGGTTACAACAAACACAACATCAATCATTACCACATTTTATTAATATCAATATAATAAACTCCATTCTTAAAATAAAATCAGTCATCTGCATTCTCTTGGGAATTAATCATTATCGACAGAATTATTCTCGTCAGCAAATCATAAAAGTTAGTAAGATGTAACCTATTGAAGAAATTCTTATGGTCTTCTTTTCTATGCTAAATAAAACTATTTATAAAGTTACCAAATATGTAGGGATGGCAAGTCAGTTGTTTTTAGTTTGAATGTTATGGGGTTGCAACAAGGCAAGATGATACGATATTATTATTCATCCAAACTTATATACAACTTAGGCAATGATAAGGCCTTAGGTTCAGATAAAATGAGACAAAATTAAATGAACTGAGGTACAGTATATATATATATATATATATATATATATATATATATATATATATATATATATATATATATATATATATATATATATATATATATATATACCCTACATAGGTATGCCATAACACTGTTTTCTTGATTAATTTGGTTAATTTTTACTTATATATTTAAAAACATTTATCACAGTACAGTATAGTGTCACCTCTGGCTGGAAGAAGGGGACCTTTAGCCTCGGAGAAAAGCACACATGACGCAGTAGAGGGGATTTTTAGGTCCTCTCTATACTGTTTATATGTTTTTTTATCCTACCACCCCCTTCCTGTTGATTTTTTTAGCTTATATATATATATTTTTTATTTAAAATTTCATTACACAAAAAGAGTTACAACATTGGTTATATGCAAGGTACAAGGCTACTTGTCACAGGTTGTCGACTTCCTCCAGCTCCTCAGATGGCGGGCAGGAACCATGGGATACAATGTGCATTTCCTTTCAGGATTGCCACACTAAGGCGCTGAAAGAGGAAACTGGCGGCTCTAGGGGTCTTTAGTTATTTCAATTAGCTTAGAACCCAGCTCCATAAAAAAACTAGCAGCACTTTTACCCCAGGCACCAAATGTCTCTGAGGCAATGGGGACAAAATTGTAGTGGTGCTCAAGATCTCTGTATTTACGAGACTTAGCTGATTCCCGGTGATTGGCAGCACCACCTGGCTGTGCAACATTGAAGTCAACATAGGTGTTGTATAAATCTGAAACGCAAGTGCAGTCCCACACCAACTGTCTACCATTCTTCCAGGGGTTCACTGTGATCCCTTCTGGGCGACCGACAGGCTCGTCAGAGTTGCGGGGCATTAGGTAACGAGGTTCTCTCTATGCTGGACAACCGGCTGTGGTAAGGTTCCTCTTAATAATGTCATTGACCTCGCCGTGTCTTGCATGCCATCCTCCTGTCCTTTGGCAGAGAAGGCCATGCCGTCCGTACCTGTCGGCCACTGCCTCGCCGCAAATACACCTGTATTCGGTGTGGATTGGGGCAGCGAGGCGGAGGGCCTGCGGTGTGAGATGGGTGCCGGTTGCTGATATTGGGGTTGCTAATAAGAAATCACCTGCATGGGGAACTGCTACAGCTATAAGTCGGGCAGAGTCAGTGGTGTTGTTGCAGCTACTTGGTCTACAATGGGGCGATCTCAGCTGGATTGCTTACGAGCTTCAGAAGGTGGTGATTGGAGTGCTGGTCCTGCAAGAGAGACCCATTTGATGGTGGAGGTCTATAAAACTGGGATCTTGCACCCTGCCTGTTGACCTAGGTAATCAGGTAGGATTTCCTTCACCAGGTTGTCAGACGCCACTGAAGAGGACAGGAACGCAGGTACAACAATTTGTTTTGCTGTGCGCACGCCAAGGCCCCCGAAGTCTGACAGGAAGGGAGGCCTGTTTCCACTGTGAGTCGCTGAGAGAAAGGTTGAGGGCTTTTTCTAACATTGATTTCAGCAGGCTGTCGTACTCTCCTAATTTAATGTTATTTAAAGATGGTGAACATCTAAGAAAGTAGATCAGCCTGGGGAGGGACAAGCATCTGGTGATGAGGTAAAGTGAGGGAAATTTCTTGGTAGAAAACTCAGAGGTGGCTGGGTAGTGGTGATGGTTACAGAAATGAAGACTATTTAGTGATGACATGGTTACAGTGATGAAGATAGTGTGTGGTGAAGATATATAGCCATTGTCACCCCGACCTATGCCGTGTATCGTCCCTGTACCCAACCACTTGGACTGGACGGTAAGAGCGACGATCTAGCTTCATGCAGGTCGGCGTTCAATTCCCAACCGTCCAAGTGGTTGAGTACCATTCCATTCCCCCGTTCCATCCCAAATCCTTATCTCTTCCCAGTACTATATAATGGTAATGGCTTGGGTAGTTCTCCTGGTAGTTCCCTTCCCTTCCGTGTTTAGTTACGATAACGTACCGTCCCTGTACGTACGTGTTCTGTGTTTATACAAGACAGATAAATACATACACCAAAATAGTTAACAATTATAAATAAAACACAGCAGTGGCTATGCAGCAGTCTGCGACTCCGGGTGCGGTGCCTGTCCTCTCGTCCCGTTCTTGGCGGGAAGAGTGCTGTGGTGGTCGGCGTCCCTGCCGCTGGAGCCGCTTCTCGCCTTGACGTGGTACCTCATCCCGGGGATCAAAGACGCCCTTCTCGTCGCCTTCTGCCTCTTCTTCTTCTTCTTCTTGTCGTATGAGGACCAGGTGAGGTTCCACGGGTTGTTGACGTTGTGGTGATATCGGCTGTACTGTTTCCAGCGAAGCTTCTGAGTGTACTCCGTGCTGGGACGGATCAGGTCGTAGCAGTATCTCCGCATGCTGGCAGTCGGAGTGGCAGGGTTAGAAGTAGCCCTTGAGGGTAAAGTTAGGATTGGGGGGTAAAGCTAGACTTGAAGTTAAACTAGGACTTGAGCTTAAAGCTAGGATGTGAGGTTTGAGCTAAAGGCTTAAGGTTAAAGTGAGAGTAATAAATAGAAGGCAATATCCTCAACGATAATAAATAAATCATTGTTGATTAACTTTTTACATTACGATGAAGTCAAAGTGACTTTAATAAACGTCTGCAAACGTAATTACTTTTTGAATTCATTATTTACGTGGAGACCCGCCATGCTTCAGTACTTACGTGGAGGATCCCCCTGGTACTTATCCTGGAGAACCCATATTACTTAACTGGAGGGCCTCTTGGTACATACCTGGTGGGCCTCTAGGTACATACCTCGTGGACCTCTTGGTACATACCTGGTGGGCCTCTAGGTACATACCTCGTGGGCCTCTTGATACATACCTGGAGGGCCTCTTGGTACATACCTGGTGGGCCTCTAGGTACATACCTCGTGGGCCTCTTGGTACATACCTGGAGGGCCTCTTGGTACATACCTGGAGGACCTCTTGGTACATACCTGGAGGACCTCTTGGTACATACCTGGAGGGCCTCTTGGTACATACCTGGAGGGCCTCTTGGTACATACCTGGAGGGCCTCTTGGTACTTATTAACCGTCTGTACTTACCTAAAGTACTCCAATGTGTTTGTATTCATCTGGGGGGAACCTCCCAGGTGCCTGTGTGCACTTGACTCCCAGTACGTGGACACTTACGTGGAGGAGCCGTTGTTGTGCACCTTGTACTGCACCACCAGGTAGCGCTCCTTGTCCCCGAAGGCGTGACGTTTGTTGAAGGTGTGGGTGCTGCTCTCCTCCAAGCCGCACTCTCTCCACACCTTGTGGATGGGATCAACACTTCATGTTTTAGGTAATTACGTCTTTTTTCTGTATGTAATCATTAAATTCAATTAGCTGTATATGTGATTTTGGCGCTCACTTTGATCTATCAACCTTTGCTTAAGATCTATCAACCTCTGGAGGGTTATTAAATTATTGTGGTTTATTTTATTTAGGTTTTTATTGTTTCTTACTTGAAGTTATTTTTTGTTATAAATTGTAAACATTTTAGGTCATATTTTTTTTACCAATATGTGATGTGTGTTTTCCAGTTATGGTTATGTTAGTAGCCCCCTCCCTTTGCCCCTCTTTCAGTTCAGACAGTTCTCTCTGCTCTATTGTGAACACTTCTTGACTCGTCTGATCTTCTTGTACACTTTCTTGACAGTTTGTGTGACCGTCTCCACCTATACTCAGTTCGTTTCTTTTTAGTTGTGTTCACCTAGTTGTGCTTGCGCGGGTTGAGCTCTGCTTTTTCGGCCCGCCTCTTAACTCTCAATCAATCAACTGTTTCTAACTACTAACTAATCCCCCCCCCCCCACACACACACACACAGGAAGCAGCCCGTAACAGTTGTCTAACTTCCAGGTACGTATTTACTGCTAGGTAACAGGGGCATTAGGGTGAAAGACACTCTGCCCATTTGTCTCTATCTAGTCCGGGAATCGAACCCGAGCCACAGGATTACGAGCCCCACGCGCTGTCCACTCAGCTACCAGACTCCGTGGTAGTGTGTGTGTGTGTACATGCTGATTTAACAAGAGCTAGTAATACTACACAAATGTCAACAAGGTTGTTAGCTGAGTGGTGGTGCTCACCTTGTCCCTCAGTTCCCTGAGACTTGCCACCTCTTCCTCCATACGCCCGCGGCCGAAGGCCTCTACGTGTCTGTCAAACCTGATGAAAGAAAAAAAAATGTAGCCTGTACATATATCAGTAAATACGGTAATAGGGCCAGAATGTGTATTAGTGAGGATCGTAGTGTTTTGTACTGTTACGTTTTGATGCATAGCACTGTGCTGTTTCTATAGTCTGACTAGTAGGCATCCATCAGACATAGGAGACTATGGAGTTGCGCTCTGGTTGTCGGTCTGGAGTAGCTTCTCCAGGGCACAAAGCCAGGGTAGGTTAATATGGAGGAGAAGCTGTCACCCAAGCAGCAAGTCCCCCTTCCCCCTCTCCACGGCGCCAAAAATCTCCAATGGAAAGGCAAACGCCAATACGATTGGTTCCAGCGCCATCGCGGGAACTGTCAGAACGAGGTTGAAGGCAACAACGAACTGTCCTAGGGGTTTGTAGTCTATATAAGGCGTTACATATTGTAGGTTAGTTTTTTTTAGTAGATCAGGAGGTAGCTAGTTTCACTCAGTACCCACCCCTATCACGCAAGGTGGGTTGTCATACAGTGGATGTGAGTAGTCTGCTAGCCAACACAAGCAAACTTCTTGTAGATAATGAGGGCATCTTCTAATAGCCGCGAGTGAATGAATTAGCTATTATTGGCTATTAGCTATTATGAATTAGCTATCCTGGTATATATATTATACCATTTGGTTTAAGATTATTGATATTGATATTATTATTAAACATGGTATTGGTTTAAACATGATATTGACATTATTGATATTATTATTGATTTGGTAGAAAACTCAGAGGTGGCTGGGTAGTGGTGATGGTTACAGAAATGAAGACTATTTAGTGATGACATGGTTACAGTGATGAAGATAGTGTGTGGTGAAGATATATAGCCATTGTCACCCCGACCTATGCCGTGTATCGTCCCTGTACCCAACCACTTGGACTGGACGGTAAGAGCGACGATTTAGCTTCATGCAGGTCGGCGTTCAATTCCCAACCGTCCAAGTGGTTGAGTACCATTCCATTCCCCCGTTCCATCCCAAATCCTTATCTCTTCCCAGTACTATATAATGGTAATGGCTTGGGTAGTTCTCCTGGTAGTTCCCTTCCCTTCCGTGTTTAGTTACGATAACGTACCGTCCCTGTACGTACGTGTTCTGTGTTTATACAAGACAGATAAATACATACACCAAAATAGTTAACAATTATAAATAAAACACAGCAGTGGTTATGCAGCAGTCTGCGACTCCGGGTGCGGTGCCTGTCCTCTCGTCCCGTTCTTGGCGGGAAGAGTGCTGTGGTGGTCGGCGTCCCTGCCGCTGGAGCCGCTTCTCGCCTTGACGTGGTACCTCATCCCGGGGATCAAAGACGCCCTTCTCGTCGCCTTCTGCCTCTTCTTCTTCTTCTTCTTGTCGTATGAGGACCAGGTGAGGTTCCACGGGTTGTTGACGTTGTGGTGATATCGGCTGTACTGTTTCCAGCGAAGCTTCTGAGTGTACTCCGTGCTGGGACGGATCAGGTCGTAGCAGTATCTCCGCATGCTGCCAGTCGGAGTGGCAGGGTTAGAAGTAGCCCTTGAGGGTAAAGTTAGGATTGGGGGGGGTAAAGCTAGACTTGAAGTTAAACTAGGACTTGAGCTTAAAGCTAGGATGTGAGGTTTGAGCTAAAGGCTTAAGGTTAAAGCGAGAGTAATAAATAGAAGGCAATATCCTCAACGATAATAAATAAATCATTGTTGATTAACTTTTTACATTACGATAAAGTCAAAGTGACTTTAATAAACGTCTGCAAACGTAATTACTTTTTGAATTCATTATTTACGTGGAGACCCGCCATGCTTCAGTACTTACGTGGAGGATCCCCTGGTACTTAACCTGGAGAACACATATTACTTAACTGGAGGGCCTCTTGGTACATACCTGGAGGTCCTCTTGGTACATACCTGGTGGGCCTCTTGGTACATACCTGTAGGGCCTCTTGGTACATACCTGGAGGGCCTCTTGGTACATACCTGGACCTCGGGCCCTCTTGGTACATACCTGGAGGGCCCTCTTGGTACATACCTGGAGGGCCTCTTGGTACATACCTGGAGGACCTCTTGGTACATACCTGGAGGGCCCTCTTGGTACATACCTGGAGGGCCCTCTTGGTACATACCTGGAGGGCCTCTTGGTACTTATTAACCGTCTGTACTTACCTAAAGTACTCCAATGTGTTTGTATTCATCTGGGGGGAACCTCCCAGGTGCCTGTGTGCACTTGACTCCCAGTACGTGGACACTTACGTGGAGGAGCCGTTGTTGTGCACCTTGTACTGCACCACCAGGTAGCGCTCCTTGTCCCCAAAGGCGTGACGTTTGTTGAAAGTGTGGGTGCTGCTCTCCTCCAAGCCGCACTCTCTCCACACCTTGTGGATGGGATCAAAACACACATGGGATCAACACTTCGCGTTTTAGGTAATTACGTCTTTTTTTCTGTATGTAATCATTTAATTCTATTAGCTGTATGTGTGATTTTGACGTTCCGTGTCCTTTGCTTAAGATCTATCATCCTCTGGAGGGTTATTAAATTATTGTGGTTTATTTTATTTAGGTTTTTATTGTTTCTTACTTGAAGTTATTTTTTTTTATAAATTGTAAACATTTTAGGTCATATTTTTTTTACCAATATGTGATGTGTGTTTTCCAGTTATGGTTATGTTAGTAGCCCCCTCCCTTTGCCCCTCTTTCAGTTCAGACAGTTCTCTCTGCTCTATTGTGAACACTTCTTGACTCGTCTGATCTTCTTGTACACTTTCTTGACAGTTTGTGTGACCGTCTCCACCTATACTCAGTTCGTTTCTTTTTAGTTGTGTTCACCTAGTTGTGCTTGCGGGGGTTGAGCTCTGCTTTTTCGGCCCGTCTCTTAACTCTCAATCAATCAACTGTTTCTAACTACTAACTAATCCCCCCCCCCCCCCCACACACACACACACACAGGAAGCAGCCCGTAACAGTTGTCTAACTTCCAGGTACGTATTTACTGCTAGGTAACAGGGGCATTAGGGTGAAAGACACTCTGCCCATTTGTCTCTATCTAGTCCGGGAATCGAACCCGAGCCACAGGATTACGAGCCCCACGCGCTGTCCACTCAGCTACCAGACTCCGTGGTAGTGTGTGTGTGTGTGTGTGTACATGCTGATTTAACAAGAGCTAGTAATACTACACAAATGTCAACAAGGTTGTTAGCTGAGTGGTGGTGCTCACCTTGTCCCTCAGTTCCCTGAGACTTGCCACCTCTTCCTCCATACGCCCGCGGCCGAAGGCCTCTACGTGTCTGTCAAACCTGATGAAAGAAAAAAAAATGTAGCCTGTACATATATCAGTAAATACGGTAATAGGGCCAGAATGTGTATTAGTGAGGATCGTAGTGTTTTGTACTGTTACGTTTTGATGCATAGCACTGTGCTGTTTCTATAGTCTGACTAGTAGGCATCCATCAGACATAGGAGACTATGGAGTTGCGCTCTGGTTGTCGGTCTGGAGTAGCTTCTCCAGGACACAAAGCCAGGGTAGGTTAATATGGAGGAGAAGCTGTCACCCAAGCAGCAAGTCCCCCTTTCCCCTCTCCACGGCGCCAAAAATCTCCAATGGAAAGGCAAACGCCAATACGATTGGTTCCAGCGCCATCGCGGGAACTGTCAGAACGAGGTTGAAGGCAACAACGAACTGCTAGGGGTTTGTAGTCTATATAAGGCGTTACATATTGTAGGTTAGTTTTTTTAAGTAGATCAGGAGGTAGCTAGCTTCACTCAGTACCCACCCCTATCACGCAAGGTGGGTTGTCATACAGTGGATGTGAGTAGTCTGCTAGCCAACACAAGCAAACTTCTTGTAGATAATGAGGGCATCTTCTAATAGCCGCGAGTGAATGAATTAGCTATTATTGGCTATTAGCTATTATGAATTAGCTATCCTGGTATATATATTATACCATTTGGTTTAAGATTATTGATATTGATATTATTATTAAACATGGTATTGGTTTAAACATGATATTGACATTATTGATATTATTATTGATAAGATTAGCTATTATTGGCTATTAGCTATTATGAATTAGCTATCCTGGTATGTATTATACCATTTGGTCTAAGATTATTAGACCAAGTGGATAACATGACATTCTTTCATATAATGTTTCAGAGTTTACCGTAGTTATTTTTCCAAGAGTTTACAACTGGCGTGGTTAGTAAGTAACGATGTCCGAAACTAAGTCTGACAAATATCAGTGTCCGATGGACACCTTGTGCTGTCCGTTTATGTACAGTTCTTCATTCTAAACGGACCATACGTCTAAATAAAACTGTGCTTTCTGCCATTTAAGCTTTATTTTAGCTCCTCTGTTTATGTAATGCTGGGTACTACTTATACCCCATTAAATTCTAACACTAAATCTCTTGCTCTGTGCACCAATTATAGTATTTATCATCGATCCAATGATAATTTTACGTTCTACTTTGCAAGTTGTGTTTTTAAGTGTTTAAAGAACTGACTTTTGAGTCACAGAAAATTATGAATTTTCATGTGACCTTCCATGTATCCACCCCATCTCGTGGGTGGGGCGCAGCGCAGAGTTCTGCTCGGGTGCCTCCTTCAGCTCCTGCAGATGTCTGACATCGGGATTAATATTAGAAATATCGGAAATCTGATTCATGAGCTTTATTTTATACCCGAATTGATTTTTGAATTACCACCAACAGTGAAAAGAAATGTACGTGAAAGAAAAGAAATGAAAAGGTTTCAGAGGTCAGTAACACCACTAGCTTGAATACTTTTACAGGCTGCTGTAACCATGGTTGACGAAGAAAATAAATTGGGGTGCCATAGTAATGTAATAGTAATGCCATAGTATTGTAATAGTAGTAATGGGAGTAGCAGAAGCACAGCCACAATAGAAACAGCAGAAGTAGTAGAAGCAGTCACAATAGAAACAGCAGAAGTAGCAGAAGCAGTCACAATAGAAACAGCAGAAGCGCAGCCACAGAATAAGCCAGCAGTTGAAGTCGCAGCGCCAACACCACTGCAAGTCAAGTTACCCACCTTTCCTTAAAGAACGCGTACAGCTTGACGTCGGCGGCGTTGAAGTGCTCAAGGGTGTTGACAGAGTGCTCGCTGAGGTAGCTTCGATAGCGGTCCTTCCGCACGTTGCGAGCCATGGCCACCACGTCCTCGTCCCTCCAGCACATGAGGTGCTTCAGCAGCACCAGGGACTCGTCCATGCGCTCCGCTACCTGCCGGAGAGCATAGGGCGGCTGCTGAGGCAAGCGCGGATGGACACGGGCACGGACGGATATATTCGTATAACCGGCGATAATTATGTTATCATACCATTATTTGCGCTAGGTCTATCTATCTCTCTCTGCCTGTCTCTGTCTGTCTGTCTGTCTCTGTCTGTCTCTGTCTGTCTGTCTGTCTCTCTCTCTCTCCTCTCCCTTCCTCCCTCTCCCTCTCCCTCTCCCTCTCCCTCTCCCCTCTCCTCTCTCCCTCTCTCTCCCTCTCCCCTCTCCCTCTCCTCTCTCTCTCTCTCTCTCTCTCTCTCTCTCTCTCTCTCTCTCTCTCTCTCTCTCTCTCTCTCTCTCTCTCTCTCTCTCTCTCTCTCCTCTCTCTCTCTCCCTCTCCCCTCTCCCTCTCTCTCTCTCTCTCTCTCTCTCCTCTCTCTCTCTCCTCTCTCTCTCTCTCTCTCTCTCTCTCTCTCTCTCTCTCTCTCTCTCTCTCTCTCTCTCTCTCTCTTCTCTCTTTCTCTCTCTCTCTCTCTCTCTCTCTCTCTCTCTCTCTCTCTCTCTCTCTCTCTCTCTCTCTCTCTCTCTCTCTCTCTCTCTCTCTCTCTCTCTCTCTCTCTCTCTCTCTCTCTTTTTCATATAGATAGCTTCAATATTGGCTAAAAAGTAATCATTCTATTTTCCCCCTGTACTCCCTCTGTTCCGTGTTCTTATTAGAACTTCAGTGTTCACATTTTGTTCTCCTTTATATTTATCCAATGTTCTCTTGCCATTGATCCGGCGTCCCTCACCATAACAAGATGGAAGGTCTGGTCGAGGATCCTGAAGGCTTCCTTAAGAAGTGACTCCTGGCGCATGTCCAGTTCGTCGAGGCCCAGGTCCCAGGTCATCTGATTCTTGCCCAGCCTTCCTTTGTACCTGTGGCGCGGGCCGGCGTCCAGCAGCCGTGAGAAGGACAGAGAGGTGTGTGTTAGTGACGGAATTGTTGGGGATCATTGGGGCAAAGACTGGAGATGCTAGAATTGTTTCTTATTGATGTTATTTATGTGTAAATTTGTGTTTTTCGTTGGTTACCTTGTTTTGGAGGCTATAACTACACGTTGTGTAGCCTTGCGAGTCTACTTGAAATGCATTGGGAAAAGAATAAATCCACAAGGGCCGTGACGAGGATTCGAACCTACGTCCGAAAGCATCGCAGACGCTGCCTTAATCGACTGAGCTGCATGGTCAAATTATAACCATGATTTTATAAAAAAAAATTATTTAGAAAATTTATAAAATATACTATTTGATCTTGGTTTAAAATCTCAAACCATTCTTTTAATAATCAAAATAGTTTAACAAAACCTCTTGAACCTATTACGTGAATGCTATTTCATGAGTTGATTAGTATTGATCTGTTGACGTTGAGCGCGTAATGTATACACTCGATTGATCGTATCTTCATTCTATTTCAGGATCAACTTTAACCTTATGTGAAAGGATTATTGTTTTAAGGGAAGATTGGGAAAACTGTTAACATATGTTGTACAAATAATACCACGCTCACTATATTTACAGAGCAGCTGTGCATATGACACCATGCAGACTCAGACTAGCATACCGGTTGTTGGGGGTGCGGTCACAGACTAGTATATATGTATTTAGACATATAGGTCTCACGAACGTACCTACATGGAGAAAATCAGTTGAGGAAAAACTTGAACCAGGGGTTCTAGAGAATACCAGATGCTTGCCTTAACCAACTTGGCTATGAAAGGACAAAAGCTATTCAACCCGGTACTTTACCGGGTTGAATACTCCTCTCGCTGAGGATCAAAGCAGTGTGCCCACGGCTAACAAACCCACGTCTCAAACCGATGGCCATTTGGGAATTTGGACCATGAGCAGAAGCATTCCTTACCTTGAGGTGCTTCTGGAGATTAATGTCTTCGCGACCCGGTCTCTGGCCAGGCCTCCTCCTGGACCAAGGTCTGATCAACCAGGCTGTTGTATGCCGCTGCTCACAGTCCGTTGTTTAACTAGTTCAGATGAAATAATTTATGTTGCCACATTGCTCTTCACTCGTATGTCAGTTTTATATCGTGGTCTTAGAATTCAGTTCATGCTACACGATTTTTTCCTTTTTTTTCTAACGAAATTGTCGGAATGTAGCTCCTGGCCCACTTCTCTGGTGACATTACTTCTGCTTCCTTCTACTGATGACTTCCTGTCGCCGTCGATTCCTTCATGCAGCTGTGACTGATCGCCCTAGCAAACGTACTCAAGATTGACTGATTACCGGAGACCCTGATCACCTATCTGATTGGTGAATCAGGTCGTGGTGAGCCTCGGACACTGTCCCTTCCTTTCGTTTACTGACGCTGCATCGATCTCTCCAGAATCGCAACCTTACGTGTGGCCCCATTGGCAATATAGGATACGGAGTAAAGAACTGACGCGATTGGACCAGTCCAACGGCAGCTGAGCTCTGATCAACCTCAGAGAGCCTCGCGACTCCCATTGGAAGCCTCCAAGAAACAAGACTGTCCTCTCTCTGATTGACTGACATGGTGATATTTTGATATTTTGACCACATATTACATGTCGTCCCATTGGCTATGAGAATCGTGTGTCATGACAGGGGAAGCTTCCGTAATGCCCTTGGAAATTACATCTTTTTTAGCTACCAGAATAACACATTTTAATTTAGAAGATATGACAACATGATTTCTGACACATTAAATCTTAGCCTATACAAAAAAAAAGGTCCTACAATGTTTATATAAAGGAATTGGACGTTTTGTTACTCGGCAGATCGGAAATGAGCACAGAAGGATCCAGTTGTCCAGTGAAAGTTGTACACTTGTACAACTTTCCTCCGCACTAACATTGACGTTCTCACTCTTCCTATAGTCTTCTGTTTCCTGCTTGTCAGGCGCTCTCTTACCCAGTAAAGAACCTTCCCAGTTATTTAGATCTGCATCTCCATATACAGATGATGAGTCACAATAACGAAGAATGTTGACCAATCCCCACACTAGAAAATGAAAAGTCGACGACGTTTCGGTCCGTCCTGGACCATTATCAAGTCGATAGTCATGATTATGGTCCAGGGTGGACCGAAACGTCGTCGTCTTTTCATCTTCAAGTGTGTGGTTTGATCAACATTTGCATCTCCTTTTTGCGTGTCAGTTTGTTTTATTGGGGACCGTGCCAAAGGTTTTTTGTAGATTCAGTCCACATTAACTCCCTATTTCCTGCTTCACCAGGCATGGGCTTATTCTTTTGAAACCTGTGCTACCTCTCAGTAATGAAGTTTGTCCTACTTAGCTGTTCCATGACCCGCTAAGTAATTATTGTGTCCAGTACTTTGTAGGAGATGCTGCTCACCGACACTAGTCTATAATGTAAAACCAAATTGTTTTTTGTCTTGAATGTTGGAACCCCGTTTTCAGTTAACTTGACGTTCGGAGGCTCTCTTTTTATCAGTGTCGTATTTCTTATATATCTGTAAGTTAGCCTGGGTTGTACTTTAGCTTTTGAAGCTATATATCAATTTCGAACTGCTTCTCTGCGTCTCTTCCGACTCTAGTATATTCCCTTGAGATCCCACTTAGTGTCTCCAGGTTCGCCCCAGTACTCTCCTGCCACTACTTTTCCTATCCATTTTCTCTTCTGCAATTTGCTTCCTTATTGCTATCCATTAGCCATTATCACTTAATAATTTATTATATATATATATATCACCTTATAGGTCATGTTCAAAGGCTTTTTGGTTTGTAAAACCAGTAGTTCATAGTTCGGATCTAGTTTACTATTTATGAACAGATTTAATGAGTAAATAGTGATAAGCAGAAGGCTTATATTGAATTAGTTGTGCACATAAATGGCTCATAATATTATACCAGGAGTAATTTACATTTCGTATATTTCATACAATATAGTAAGAACTTTATTAAGTAAAGAGTACATTCATCTTCATCATTATCTCATATATACATATAAATATTCATGCATTGTGAGTGTGATACTAAGCAACACCAGTGTGTGGGCAGATATTCCAGTGATTACTTATTGTATTAAGTAGTAAAATGAATAAAATAGGTGGGCACCGCCTTGCTGTGTGAATAACACAATGCTCACTCAAGATTTTCCTTCTGAGGTAGCTACCTTGACACGGTGAGGGGGTTTGAGATGATCGACGGTTGCACGCAGGTCGTATTAGCGAGTGCCTCGAGTGAGCACCTGCCAGGATCTTCCGAACTAAACTGACTGCTGGGGGGGAGAAGTGAGATTCAAGTGTTACCAACACAGTGACTGTAGATGTCCGTACATGTTGCTGGCTCCACCCCACCCATAGGGGGAGTTGCCTTTGACGGCGCTGGTCGGTGTCGGATGGTTGCGTGTCCAGTTTGGGACGTGTAGGGGGATGGGGTGGTGGTAAGTCGGGGACGTTTGCACCAGCCTGGGCAAACTTTCACACAGCAGAGGACTTGGGTCATTTACAAATGGGAAGCACCTCTTGGTCTCGGGGTATCCCGCCTTGTGTTGGCTCTCGGTCGTCCCTTGGTTGTCAACGTTAGGGAGGGGGAAGTCCGACAGGTCTGGGACCAAATTAATGTAACATCTTCCATCGGGATAGGTCTCTTACCCCATGCTCATGGAGGGTAAGAGACCTTCCTGGGACCTTGCAACTCGCATTGACGTCAGATTAGGAGCAGCACACTTGCCACACACACACAAATGTCTCATACCAAAACAAATCTTAAATAAAATAAACATTCTAGAAAGATAAACTTCGAGCGAAATACATAGAAAAAAAATCTATTATTATTTTATAAAATAAAAGCACATATTGTTTGTAACTATATGATCATCAAGAAGAGAAACAGACAAAATAACAACGAATAAAACTAATAAAGAGGAATACGATACTATAGGAAGGAACAAATATTGAAATATGAGGTTTACAATGAATAATGAACTACAGGTTCATTGTACAAGTATGATAAACTAGTAGAGTGGCCACGGAATTAAACCAAAACATTAGACATGTAAAGCCAAAGTCAATATCATAAATAAGGCCATACAAGCAAGGGTGATCTTACAGAGATTCTACACGCACAAGCAGAGATCTTACACTCACAAGCAGAGATCTTACACTCACAAGCAGAGATCTTACACTCACAAGCAGAGATCTTACACTCACAAGCAGAGATCTTACACTCACAAGCAGAGATCTTACACTCACAAGCAGAGATCTTACACTCACAAGCAGAGATCTTACACTCACAAGCAGAGATCTTACACTCACAAGCAGAGATCTTACACTCACAAGCAGAGATCTTACACTCACAAGCAGAGATCTTACACTCACAAGCAGAGATCTTACATGCACAGGCAGAGATCTTACACTCACAAGCAGAGATCTTACACGCACAAGCAGAGATCTTACACTCACAAGCAGAGATCTTACACTCACAAGCAGAGATCTTACATGCACAAGCAGAGATCTTACACTCACAAGCAGAGATCTTACACTCACAAGCAGAGATCTTACATGCACAGGCAGAGATCTTACATGCACAAGCAGAGATCTTACACTCACAAGCAGAGATCTTACACTCACAAGCAGAGATCTTACACTCACAAGCAGAGATCTTACATGCACAGGCAGAGATCTTACACTCACAAGCAGAGATCTTACACTCACAAGCAGAGATCTTACATGCACAAGCAGAGATCTTACACTCACAAGCAGAGATCTTACACTCACAAGCAGAGATCTTACACTCACAAGCAGAAATCTTACACTCACAAGCAGAGATCTTACACTCACAAGCAGAGATCTTAAATGCACAGGCAGAGATCTTAGAGAGAGAATAACATCAAGGTAGCATACAAGTCAATACCCGCAACAAAGACCAAAGATCTTTCTTTGAAACTGAGACATTCAGTTTCAGTCAGGACAATGGGGGAGGGTGGGGAAGCTGCTCGCTTGGAGCAGGTTGCCGGCACTCACCGCAGAGATTAATTTTGAGATATACAAGAGAGTTGTTACATTCTTGTAACAACAACAATAATGTTGTTGTTAACAACAATAATGTCTTGTAACAACAATAATGTCAACTTTGCTCTTACAATAGACTTGATAGCTACATGGAGGGAAGGGGTGGGGGAGTGGAATGAGAGGTGGGGGATGAATCAAGATGGCCACTGCCCAAAATAGGTCAATAGGCCCGCTTAGGTGACTCCTAATTCATATGTTCTCATCTTGTATATAATCTGTGTGAACAACAGCATTGTCACCCAGTGTTGCTGAACAACAATTTGAATAACACTATGTTAATAATAATAATAATAATATATTATACGTGCTTAATATTTTTAAGAAAAGCTGCGCAAATAGCCATTTTGCTCTGTGAATCTCATCCAAATGTGTATCTATATTTGATAACTTATCGTCGATATATTAAGTATATTTTTTCTTGACATCCTCATTTTTATCCGTCTATGTGCGTCTGTCGTGACGTTACCTCCTGCGGGAAAAGGGAAGGGGGAGAGGAGAGAGCGCCAAGCCATTACGACTGTATAGCACTTGGAAGGGGTCAGGATTAGGATTTGGGATGGGCCGGGGGAAAGGAATGGTGTCCAACCACTTGCACGGTCGGGAATTGGACGCCGACCTGCATTGAAGCGAGACCGTCGCTCTACCGTCCAGCCCAAGTGGTTGGACCCTCCTAGGGGGGGAATCCTTAGTTTTTACAACTATAGGCAACGCTAACTAGCTCGCTGTATCACGTGTTAGTTGTTGTCTCACCTGTTGTTAGCGTTCTTGAACTTTGACCTTCCTCCAGAGTTGCCCTCGAGCTTCCAGATGAGGTGGTCGAAGGTGGCGCCGTAGAACTTGTGGAGGTGATAGTAGTGGAACATGGACTCGAACACCGCTGACGGCTCCCTGACGATGGTCACCCACACGGAGTCCTCGTATGTCAGCTGAGGAAGCAACATTATCAAGTCATGGTCAGACGATGAGTCACAATAACGTGGCTGAAGTATGTTGACCAGACCACACACACGCTCTAGAAGATGAAGGGACGACGACGTTTCGGTCCGTCCTGGACCATTCTCAAGTCGATTGTGAGACGTTCGACAATCGACTTGAGAATGGTCCAGGACGGACCGAAACGTCGTCGTCCCTTCACCTTCTAGTGTGTGATCTGGTCAACAAGTCATGGTCACATCCACACACGTGTCCTGTATGCGTCAGCTGGAAGAGGAACGTCAGGGGGTTGTTTCAGACTAATATTCCATGTTTAGGAGATGGATAAATGAAGATTGAAGAAAATTAAGCTTTTCTGAACCCTTACCACACCCCAAAAGGCAGAAAAGGGGCATAAGTGAAAGACAATACTGCCGCTATAGAAGCAAGATAATTGTCTTACACAGCTGCGGACGCACCTGCTGTATGGCTCTGACATGGAGTCTGGTGTGGTGGACGAGGAAGTGATACCTGCCCGAGGGTGGGGCGAAGGGCGAGTCCCTGAGTTCCTTCACTCTGAGGCTGTGACCCTCGGCCACCGCGTCCAGGTACACACTAGAGTAGGGCAGCGCCACTGACAGGTTGTGAGCGTCCGCGTAGCGCATCAGTACGTTCTGTATGGTGGAGGAGCCGCACTTGTGGGTCTTGAGGAACACCAGATGGCGTCGAGGGCGGCAGGTGGGGCCCGCCCTCTGCGCTGACCACGCCCGAGGCTCCTCACTGGAGACGGAGAAGTTCAAGAATGTTTATTGAGACAAGAAAGAATTACATCTCAAAGGAATAGAGTAGCTTAGGCTACTTCTACCCCTCCGGGACGGAGAAGCTCCACGTTAAGGGCTAGAAGGTTATAAAGAATTATATTGACTATGATCTCTGTTGCGGTAATTACGACGTTTTGTACCTAGATAATTTGTTATTATTGTGACGAAGTTCGCTGTGCCGAGGTGTTGAGCTGAACAAAGGGATCCCGATGGGTCAAAAGTCATGTCTTTTTTTATCAAAATTATGTTAAATGGGTATACCTAATTGACACCTTTTCTTCTGTGCATTACCATCTTTGAATTGTGCCTGTCACTGATATTTCTGAATTGTGCTTGGAATTGAATTTTCAGATTTGTTTCACTCTGAATTAATCTTTTCAATGATGCTTTTGACCAAATCTTTGAATCTGGCTTGATACTTACACGCCTTTGATGTTCCTGCGAGGAAGACAAAGGGAATACATTAATCTACATTTCTGGCTATTGATAAGATATTATTTCATTAACGCTAAAAAAACTTGTTTTCCCAGGAAGCTACAGTACATGAACACAGTAATTAGAAACATTGGTAGTGAATAGGACATAAATCTGATCTTGCAGCATGCCTGAGCATAAGATATACCTGTGAATAAAGCATTCTTTACCGTGGAGCAATACCTGAATTCGGAATATACCCAGACACACAGAATGCACTCGGACACGGGAAGTATCCAGAGACACACAACACATGACACAACATACATGAATCAAACGAAAAACAGAACGTGACAAAATAAGGAATGTATCAAACTATGGAACGTTCCTCGCTAGGGAATACAACCAACATTCCCTGACGGAAAATATTCACAGACATATATTGGACCTAAACATATTACCTTAACAAAGAACATGTATGGGGTACGAAACGCACCAGAACGTGGAACGTTCCTGGACTTGGCATGTACATGGTCACTGAACGTTCCCAGACAAAGGAACACTGTTGAATTAGGGGACGCACCTGAGCATCAGGTTCTGCTGGTTAGTGAGGTTAAGCTGGAGGACGAGAGCCATGCTGCTGACGACACACAGCAGCACCAGCAGCTTCACCAGCATCGTCGGACCTGTGCTCTCCTGTCGCGAGACGACGACGACGACGACGACGACGAGGACGAGGGAGAAGATAAAGGAAGATTGGTGTAAAGGAGTGAAGAAAATCAGAAAAAAAGCTGGTAGAGAAAAGAATGATCATAAATAGGATAGGAAAGAGGGGAAGGGAGAGCAGGAAGAGAGGGAGAAGGAAAAAAGAGGTGGAAATAAGATGGAAAAAGAGGTGGAAATAAATAAGAGGAAATAAGAACAAGCGTAACACTACTCCCTGTACAAGTTCTTGGGATAGGTTGTTCTTTCCTATTCTTACATTGTTTAAGGATTTACAGTAATGTAATTAGATTATATAAATTCTTCTCTGAAGTTTAAATGTGAAAGTTTTCAAGCCTTACCTTGGGCTATCTACTAAGAGATCCACATGTAATAATTCTGTAAGAATGCCATAAATCACTTTAATTTGCATTAATTGCCTAGAATTATACGCTGTGACATAAACTTCAGCATTAATGATACTTGTGTTTACCTAATATACTCAAACTTATTTACAAATTATTTTGCCGAAAGTTTGAAGAATCAGTATATGCTAGCACGTATGTCGTATATACTGTATGTATGCACGTATGTATGCAAGTGCACGAATGTATGCACGTATATCAAAGGAATGAGTATTTTGGATTATCTTTGTAGAGTTCTTAAACATGTGCAGTTAATTCCAGGTTGAAATATTGTGTTAAATGCATGAGGTCATTTTTCAACTCGAGAGGGAATACATTGAAGGCTCTCACCTTCTTTTTGATGACCTTCTGATCTTTCTTTTTGCTCATGTTGACCACCAAGAGCCGGGGACCTGGTACCACACATTCCTGGTGGGGTGGTGGATGTAGGGGCCGAGGTGAGGACACTGTTTCTTCCAGCAGAGTTCACCGTGCTGGTGAGTGGTGGTGTGGCCACTGCTCCTTCCAGCAGGGTTCACCGGGCTGGAAGGATGAAGGATGAAGGTCTGAGATGCGAGCAGGGCATCCTTCCAACACGGGTCATTGCATTTAGCGTTGTAGCAGCCACTTCTGCCTTGTCTGCAAAATACGTTCATGAATTTTAGATTTGTATTTATTGCAAGCATGATCGTGGGATATGTGCATTCACATTCGTATATAGTTGATACCACTCAGTATTCTTTAGTACCGTCTTTATACCAGAATAAAATAAACGGTCTTCTATGTTTATATCCTGTTTGTACGAGTCATGAGTCTCGCTGAACTTACCTTTATACAATATTCACAAATAGAACATCAATTTTGTGGGATCAAATCCTTATTGATGCAGATTCTGCAAACAAAATCAATACCTTCATCGCTCCCACTCCATAAAAATACGTTAAACACACACACACACACACACACACACACACACACACACACACACACACACACACACACACACACACACACACACACACACACACACACACACACACGCGCGCGCGCATATGCGAGGCTGGCTAACATCAGAACGGCGTTCAGGAACCTGTGTAAGGAATCATTCAGAATCTTGTACACCACATATGTAAGACCAATCCTGGAGTATGCGGCCCCAGCGTGGAGCCCGTACCTTGTCAAGCACAAGACGAAGCTGGAAAAAGTCCAAAGGTATGCTACTAGACTAGTCCCAGAACTAAGAGGCATGAGTTATGAGGATAGGCTGCGGGAAATGCACCTTACGACACTGGAAGACAGAAGAGTAAGGGGGGACATGATCACAACCTACTAAATCCTCAGGGGAATCGACCGGGTAAACAAGGATAAACTATTCAACACTGGTGGTACGCGAACAAGGGACACAGGTGGAAACTGAGTACCCACATGAGCCACAAGGACGTTAGAAGGAACTTTTTCAGTGTCAGAGTAGTTAAACAGATGGCATGCATTAGGCAGTGATGTGGTGGAGGCTGACTCCATATACAGTTTCAAATGTAGATATGATAAAGCCCAGTAGGCTCAGGAATCTGTACACCAGTTGATTGACAGTTGAGAGGCGGGACCAAAGAGCCAAAGCTCAACCCCCGCAAGCACAAATAGGTGAGTATACACACACACACACACACACACACACACACACACACACACACAAACACACACACACACACACACACACACACACACACACACACACACACACACACACACACACACACACACACACACACACACACACACAAAAGAAATATATGTAGCAGACATAATAGAGGAAAAATAAATTGGTTAGAAAGGTGGGGTCCAAGAGCTAAAAGCTCGATTCTGCAGATAAAAATAAAAACAAATAGCAAATACTCACAAAATAAATGCAAAATCTGAACACAGTTTAAAGCACATCTAGACGATTCCTCAGACCCACAAATAATACACCTACTAAACTCCCGTCATCCATTCTTGTCAAGTATGAAGAACAAAAATTACATTTTCAACCATCGGTGATCAAGTATGTTTATTAAGACAAGAAAGAAATACATCTCAAAGGGATAGAGTAGCTTAGGCTATTTCTACCCCTCCCCCCCCCTCTCCCCCGCGCCAACGGTGTTACCAACTGAATCGAATGTGGCCTCTGTCCAACAGACCTACGGGTAGAATACTATCCCACGGTCAATGTGCTACTTTAATACATATTTATTTATATCATACGTTCCCATATGTGATAGCTCTTGCTGGCAATACAGCGCCTGAGAGGGGGTTATTACTGAGCAGGAACGACCTTATGGTTGTGTTCGTCTTCACCAAGGTTGCTGTGGTGATAAAAGGGTTGGGTGTTGGGGGGAGGAGTGCAATGTGGTTGACTGTGCATGTGACGCTGTCTTTGGTTATAACATTAATTGTGGTTTTGTTCAGGTTATTTATAATTGCTAGTGTGAGATATTTTTGCTGTCGATCTTGTAAGGAAAAGTTTTCAATTGCTTGAAGAGCAGACTTTGAATCTTGTTTTACTTTGTTGTTGTTTAAGATTTGCTACTTGGAATAAAAAGTTCCAAGTACCACGGACTATGGTGAGACCGTAGTGTTTTTTTTTTTTTTACTTACTGTGACTTGGTTACTGATTGAGGGTCAGTCACCAAGTGCAGTTGAGTTACTGATTGTGATAGGGTTACTGGCTGTGCTACGTGATTGGTTTACTGTTATACTGTGATCGGGTTACTGATTGTGGTATGTTTATTGACTGCAGTAATAGGCCTTTTGTCTCTGAGAACGGGAAACCATCTCGAATATTTTTATAATACCTAACATACACATAGAAAATTAAAATACGTGACAAGAATGTTCAAAATAAAGCTTTTAGTTAACTGGAGTTGATTTATTATAATGATTTTTTTGCTAAATTCAGTGTTCGTCAAAGAGAAATGTAATTACTGTCATAAGAGAACTGGACACAACCCGTCCTCAGCCTATGTTCATTCCATCTAGCGACCAACCCCAAAAAAATGTATTTATTAATTTTAACATGCAATATTTTTGAAATAGTAACACCTAAAACCATCCGTGCGTATCGATGAATCAGGAACATTTATATATAGGCTGACGAAAAAGTTCAAGCCAGGAATAATTTCCTAAACTCTACAAAATATTTGAATTTATATTTTGTTTGACTGAAAATGGTTATAATACCAGACGTTTTAGCCAAATATCCCTAGTTTACACCACTGGCTAAGCTACGAGAGGCAGAGGAGGTGTGCATGATAAGCATATCAATTATGACACTAGCTCACTACATATGTAAACTGTCTAACTTATAAACTTATAGGTCGGTTAAATTGATGATTTAATAATATACATTAAATTTTGTAACAAGTTTATCAAGACTGTAACTTGCTTAGGCAAATGAATTTCGGGGTTCAGTCCCTGAGCCTATTATGAACGTCTGTAACCTTTTCCACTACCGCCCACAGAATGGGTATGTGATGCATAATAAATGAACCAAACTGCCTGAAAATATAAATAAACATTTAAAATATTAAAAACAAAATTCCTTTAAAAAATAAGAAAAAATATGAACAAAATTCACAATACAGTTTTCTATTTACATTAATGAAAAATATTTTTAGCGTAATATGAAGTATAATAGTCCCATATCCCTTGTGGTTGAGTCATAAAGAGTTCTTTTCCCCCAGTTCTCCCTATCACGTGAAAGGATTTCCCAAGGTCCTTGGGACTTTGCCCAAGCGCCTTTATCAACATTACCATAGTTGAGTTTCATGGTACACGCTAACAACCCTGACCCCTCAGTTCACTGCCCAACTGATAGTCTTCGGGACTTTCCATAATTAAAAAAAAGGTTTCCAGATTTTCTGGTTGTAATGTGATGCAAATATAATCGAGTTCCATTTGTGTACCGCTGCCGGACTGACCATAGCTGTGGCTGTTGAGTATACCTCGGACCATTTACAACCCTAGAGAAACGTATGATTATTATGAGTAAGGTCCGAAGTTCTTTGTGTGAGTGTATATTGACCTCGTGGAAGTTCTCCACGCCAGTCAGGTGTGTGTGGGGGTGATTGATGTCCGCTCGTGTGTTCCCACAGGTGAGGGCCGACTCACCTGTGAGACCATTGCCACATGTTGTTTCCCAACTCTTCCTCAACTCTCTTAGACATTATGCAAGAAGCAAGATACAACAGCTAGATATTGCGACTAAATAATTTTCACTCGAGGAGAAAACAAAATATAGATTGGGGGGGGGGGAGTTCATGTATTGTCCCTCGTGTGTGTATACTCACCTATTTGTGCTTGCAGGGTTGAGCTCTGGCTCTTTGGTCCCGCCTCTCAACTTGTCAATCAACTGATGTACAGGTTCCTGAGCCTACTGGGCTCTATCATATCTATACTTGAAACTGTGTATGGAGTCAGCCTCCACCACATCACTTCCTAGTGCATTCCATTTGTCAACCACTCTGACACTAAAAAAGTTCTTTCTAATATCTCTGTGGCTCATTTGGGCACTCAATTTCCACCTGTGTCCTCTAGTGCGTGTGCCCCTTGTGTTAAATAGCCTGCCTATTGTGTGTGTGTGTGTGTGTGTGTGTGTGTGTGTGTGTGTGTGTGTGTGTGTGTGTGTGTGTGTGTGTGTGTGTGTGTGTGTGTGTGTGTGTGTGTGTGTGTGTGTGTGTGTGTGTGTGTGTGTGTATGTGTGTGTGTGTGTGTTTAGGTACTGCGTCGGTGCTGGTGGCATCATATCAGGCTTCCAAATATACACATATGCACATGTATAACACGTGGGTGCGAAGACACGTGCAGACAAGTGCGATCGAAGACACGTGCGTGCGAAGACATGTGCGTGCGAAGACACGCAGACACGTGCAGAGAGGAGTTTATGCACATTGACTGGCACAGACAGTTTACTCTCTTTAAGTGAGCTTAAAGACAAATGAGTTAAACTGGCACCGTGTTCTTAGTGACGGTATGAGGGGGGGGGAAGAATGGCAAATTGACGTGTGTAGGATAGAGATGGTAGGGGTGATAGGAAGGGATAAAGGAGGCTGATACGGTAAGTGGCTTTTGAGAGGGAAGCTAGAGTAAGGACAGGGGTCCCAGATGCAGGCTACGAGGCTGACTAAGGCAAGTAGGTGTCTTAGACAATGAATAGAGAGGATAGGCTACGGGAGTAGCCTATCCACACATACACCCTTCTTTACTGAGCCTGGAGGGGTGCAATAATAAAAAAAGAGGGGTTGGTGGTGAAGATGGAGGATGTATGACAAGAGGGGTGAAGATAGGGTATGGGAGGAGATATAGAGGGGATGGGGAGCGTGTGATATAGCTGTATAAAATACCGTGAGAGAGCCGCTAGGCGTCAGTCCACTTCAACCACCAACATGAGGACCTCGCTGCTCGTCCTCGCCGGCCTCGCTGCGGTAAATACAATCAACACACTTGTGGGGGATTTGCTTTTAAACTAGCTGACTTAGCTTGAGTTTAAATAGGTGTGGGAGTGCTTGTGCCTGGCTCTGCCCAACTGTCCTCCTTCCACTCACAAATCTCCTGCGGATAGAAATTGACTAACCTTACAATTCAGTTAGCTACGAGCTATTTATGTCCGTGCCACCTCTTGGGTGGCTTTATCTTCATTAATCAATCAATTCAGTTAAGAATGTGTTAAATATACCAATTTACAACACCCTTAAATAAGGCTTCTGTCATTTGTCAACACACAATTGTTTAATAGATAATAGAACAATACTTAAAAATTGGCACGAGCCTATTTTTGGAGTCTCGACCCACTAATAACAGCTCCTTCTTATATACTAAATAAAGACACAGTTAAATTAGTCAAAACAACCTGTACTCTCTGCTAAGCTTTATATTTGTTGAAGAGTTTTTCACCCCCTCCCCTCGACCCATCTCTTTCCCTTCGTCCCTCCCACTCCCCTAGTCCCACCCCTTCCCTTGTCCTACCCCCCTCTAATAAAATGCAAAATATTTACGGCATTCTTATTGCCTGCAGGTGCTGGCTCAGGATCCTGCCCCGGTGAAGATCGACCTGTACTATGAGACGCTGTGCCCCTACAGCATCGACTTTGTGACCACCCAGCTGTACCCGACATGGACTATCCTCAGTGATATTATGGAGGTTGAACTCTTCCCCTTTGGTAACGCCAACGTGAGTATTGACCAGAGTCCTGCTCTTGTCAGTTAAATATATACCAATTTGAGTATACTAATACACGAATTGCAGTATATCAGTGAACATGTTTCACAATACCAGTATATATGAGTTACAGTATACCAGTACAATGGGATTCCAGTATACTAGCACAAGAGTTGCACTTTACTAATACAGTATTGTAATATAGCAGTAATGTAGAGGGGGTTTGCATGCGCTAGTTCGGGTTGCTAACACGTTCACATGGTGTACCGGGAGGCAGTACGAACAGGATGGTGACGGGTGGACCTTCACCTGTCAACACGGAGATGGGGAGTGCCACGGGAATATGATCCACGCATGCGCAAAGGACCACTTCAAGGACATCAACATCGAGATGGAGTTCGTCAATTGCCTCCTGTCGGCAGACTACCCGCCCAACGCCGGAGCCACGGTGAGACCTTTGTCCTCGAACTCAGTCCCACCTCCGTCCCACCTACATCCCTACTTCGTCACCCATACTTAACATGTATCTAATTCTGAGTTATAAATCTAAGTGTTCTTTATGTTCTTATTCTAGTTTCTATGTTAAGTCGTCTTCTTCTAATTTGTTACGTGAAGTGTTACTCTTGCCAAGCGTAATTAAATTATAATTTGTTCTTTTCCTGATTGCTATTCTAATTCAAATCTTCATTCAATTTAAATTTCCGATTCTGAATAAATGTTGTCATTTCCAAAGTGTTTTTAGAATAATTATTTCCATTTTAATTCCATATCTAATTATCCTTCCAGTTATATACACAATTCCAGTATACATTATATTTAAGACGTAGTTACTGCTATTGCTGACTGTGCCGGTATCCTGCAGTGCGCAGCGCAGGTCGGGCAGGACTGGGCGCCTCTGGACGAGTGCGTGAGCTCCCTGGAAGGCCAGAACTTGCTGCACGACGTCGCTCTCCAGCAGGAAAAGCTCGACCCCACCCTCTACTTCGTACCCTGGATCATCGTCAACGACGTGAGTCACTGACCGCCTCCATTGATGCCGTAGACTCTCTAAGACTCCCGTAGATTCCTGTAGATTTCCGTAGACTCTCGTAGACAGGTGTAGAGCAGACAGCCACCAGGGCAGGAGACAGGCCCCTCGCTCGGTTACACCCAGGACTTTCCTTACACACAAGTTCAAGTTCAAGTATATTTATTGAGACAAGAAAATATACATCTCAAAGGGATAGAGTAGCTTAGGCTATTTCTAACCCCTCCCCCCCCTCCCTTACACACTCCTCACCCCTGAAACTGATTTCCCATTTTCTATCAGTCACTAATCTATTCTCCCCCCACTCTAATTTATTAAACATGCTAATAATAATAATAATAATAATAATAATAATAATAATAAAATTGAACGCATATTTACTATGCTAATTTTTCTACTGCTAATCATATCCAATATAATTAGCAGTAGAAAAAATAATAAGCAGTAGAAATTATAATTAGCAGTATAAATTACTATTAGCAGTAAAAATAATAATTAGCAGTATAAATTATAATTAACAGTAGCAATAATAATTAGCAGTAGAAATTATTATTAGCAGTAGAAATCGTAATTAACAGTAGAAATTATAATTAACAGTAGAAATTATAATTAGCAGTAGCAATAATTATTAACAGTAGCAATAATAATTAGCAGTAGAAATTATAAATAGCAGTAGAAATAATAGTAATACTTGTAGTAAGAGTACTAGCAGTAGTCACAGTTGTGGATGTAACTGTTTCTCCCGGTGTTCAGGTGTTCAACGAGGATACGGTGACAGATTGCCAGGAAGACCTGAAAAAGGTTGTGTGTGAGACGTACACAGGCCCCACACCCGACGCCTGCGCCTCTCTCAAGCCCACAGAGCCTCGCTCAGCCCACGTCAACAAGGCCGCCGCCCCACGCTTTGCTGTCAGAGTTTCCAAGAGGCCTTAGGCTTCCCTCCCATCCTGCGCTATTCGACACTCTTTCCTGAAACGCTGTGCGTATTAGTGACTTTAGGCATAGTATGTACTAGCTCTATCTAGGAATCAAACATTATGTTTGTAACTTTTTACAAGAATAAACGTGATGTACTATTACCTGAGTAAACATTATTTAGCTATCTATCTATCCTAGTCCCTAAATGCCTTACATTTCAGGCCTAAGACAGTCCCACCTACCTTGACCACCCTTGCTTGAGAAGAACCTCCAGTTCCTGCCTACCCTTCCCACCATTAGTCTAGGTATTGAAAGATGAACGTTTCTGAAAATAAGCATGACCACCTCTCCTAAGGTGTTTCCCAAGATATAACATATACACTATCTAGCTTGTCTTATTAATAACCAATGCAAACGCTCCATGCGGTGAGTTTGATACCCGATAGCTCATGGCTAGGACACTAGCAGGTGTATGGTGCCAAAAAGAAGTTCATCATATTCTAATTAATCTAGTTAAACCCTCGGTATTTACATTGACAGGGAAGGGGGAGAGGGGCATGATAAACATAGACTCGCCCTTAACCTCAGAGTATTCCAAGTTGCAACTGTGCGCAATACCATGCTTAAAAGAACTGTATGCAAATATAATTTGTTGAATAAAGTCAGTGAAACTGTCACGGTACCTTTATATGATTTCCTTATTGAAATAGCACGCAAAGAGAAGCTGTTATACTGCTTCAGTGAAATGATAAATGACACTGACATGAAGCACTTGCCATAAAGAAAACGCTAAGTCAGTACGATTATATAGCACTCGGAACGGATATGAGGATAGGGATTTGGGATAGGACGGAGGAAAGGAATGGCGTCCAACCACTTGGACGGTCGGGGACACTTGAACGTGATATGAGGACAGTGAAGAAACGGTGGCCAACCACGGTGGCCATCAAAGACTTCACGTTACTTATGTCATCTGCAGCAAACAGTAAAGACACTAGCTTCGTTCAGACACGTAGAAAACAGAACGACCAGTTGTATTATAATGCTCTTCATGCGTGACTAATCAATAATCTTGCATGCATGCATCCTACAGCAGTAATACGTGTATCATATAGTAATCATACATAAGGCATCATATAGTAATCATACATAAGGCATCATATAGTAATCATACATAAGGCATCATATAGTAATCATACATAAGGCATCATATAGTAATCATACATAAGGCATCATATAGTAATCATACATAAGGCATCATATAGTAATCATACATAAGGCATCATATAGTAATCATACATGCGTGCACCATACACTAATCATTTAAAATAACATTCTATGAACATATCAATTCATGAGAATTAGAAGATTAGAATATATGAGAGCTAAACCACACACCAGGAGATGAGACGACGACGTTTCGGTCCGTCCTAGACAAGCCACAATCGGCTTGATAATGGTCCAGGACGGACCGAAAAGTCGTCGTCTCCTCATCTTCCCTGTGGTTTAATTCTCATATCTTCAAGCCACGTTATGTTGACGCATCGTCTGCAAGATTAAATATACTCCATATTCCTCTATGTAAACGCAAGGCTGGACAACGTGGAAACCAATGTGTAACAGACTTAATAAAATTATATGGAATAAAATTATATGGTAAGTAGCTGAAAATACGACGGAAAAGATGGATAGGTAGAGTGTCAGAATACCTACCTTTCCTTTCAAATATCAACTATTAAGAAAAGAAATTAGATATATTAATTTACCACATTATGATTTTATTAGTTTCTCAGGTATAAATTATCTCAATTATTTATATCAGTGGTATTATCCTACGAGCTTTTTTCCTACAAGTGATTTTAGATTTATTGTTTTTACGTCTAACATTATTTGCGTTAGTTAGTTTCTACTTCTGACATAATAAAATTACCATTGTGCCCATGAGAGTTTTAAATCTTATGTTAAACCTTAAAACAACCCAGGTTGCTGCGCACACGACTGTTTGAACAACCCTGGTTGTTGTGCATAGCTGAATGGTTTAGGAGAAACTGGGGCTGACCATAATGGTACCTCCCCACCAGTCACTGCAAAATTTCATGAGTCTACCCCCAAGCGTCTGGACTTCAACCTTGGACAAACATTCTGTTATATAGATAGGTTCAAGAGCGTATCACTCCACGAAGGCGTACCGAAATCCTCTTCGAAACACAATCGAACTTCCCAAGTGCCATGCTTCGGTACGAAGGCGTACCGAAATCCTCTTCGAAACACAATCGAACTTCCCAAGGATGCAACTCACAACGGTTGTCTAACGCCTAGGTACATATTTGTTGCTAGGCGAACAGAGGATTTAGGTGACAGGAAATATTGGCCAAACGCTTCTGTCCTGTTATGGGACTCGAATCCGTTGCCTTTCAGCTGTGGCCTAACTGATCTTACCACTACGCCTTAAAAGGTTTTAAAGAAAAAATTCTGTCCTTTCTCTCAGATTTCTATCGTTAAGTAGTATATTAATTCTCCGTGGTGTAGTGGTAAGATACTCGCCTGGCGTTCCGCGAGCGCTATGTCATGGGTTCGTATCCTGGCCGGGGAGGATTTACTGGGCGCAATTCCTTAACTGTAGCCTCTGTTTAACGCAACAGTAAAATGTGTACTTGGATGAAAAAACGATTCTTCGCGGCGGGGATCGTATTCCAGGGACCTGCCCGAAACACTACGCGTACTAGTGGCTGTACAAGAATGTAACAACTCTTGTATATATCAAAAAAAAAAAAAAAAAAAAAAAATCTCCTAATATAGTAGTTCACTCTAATACACATAGTGTATTAGATACATTTACCATATAATTAGATCTTCAGTTAGAAATCATCTCAGTAAATTTCACCGCCAATATTATCCTCAGATTGATTTTAGACTCATTGTTTCTAAATCTAATATAATTTATTCTTATTTCAAGTTTTAGGACATCCACTCTGTCTGTCTACGTTCCAGTATTGTCTATTTCTACAAATGTTCCAACTACAATGCTGGATACATGGGTAGTTCTATCAGGAACTTTAAGATGCGGATACTGGAACACATGGAGAATCAAAGAGCCGAAGCTCAACCTCTCCGCAAGCACAACTAGGCGAGTACAGGAGCTATTCAAGAAATAGTTTACCCTTGAACAAACCCCCAGACCGATATCAGAAATTTAGGAACATTTATATTTTCTAACCATTTGATTGTAGACTCTGACTATAAAATTGTAAATAATCGCTGCGGCTCCTTTGAGTTTAGATAAATGGAGTTAATGTACAGTATATTCAAAAGTTTTGCCTTTTCTTAAATAAATATAACTGTTTCACACAGTTGTATTCTAATCTAATGCTGATTTTTATAGTTACCCCTATTTTAATATCTGACGGATTGAATAACGTTTACAAAGCTTTGTTTTCTTATTTTTTATTTAATCTAGTTAATTTTTTAAAGTTATTTATTATATTTTATTGTTGTTAGAGATTTTAAAGTTTCTTTCTTGTTTTTTGTATTATTTATTAGGTATTTTCATAATTTGTTATTGTTTGGTAATTCTTAAGAATAAATTTAAATATGTATATGTGGTAAAGTTTTAAGGTTAGGTACTTTATAACTATAAGTTATTGCGTGTATGAAAAGGCTTTGTGAATTCGGCATTCGTCGTCTTGTATTTGGAGACAATTTAATATGAGTATTTTGTTGGTTGCTAATTCGTTTAATGTTAACCTGTTAATGGTTGGCTGTATACTTGTTTATGGTCAGAATTAGGAAGGGAACAGTACTTTGTCAGTTATTCCTTGTGCGCAGTTCAACAGTTACACCATGGTCACATTTGTCAAAAGCTGTCACGAAGTCCGTCTACATTACATCGGCGTTTTGCTTCTCTTCCATGGCATCAGAGGCCATGACATTCCGGTCTAGCGATTGTGAGACAGGAGTGTCCTTCCGTAAACCCATGTTAGCCAGGGTTATGTAACGTTGTGATCGTACTTTTTCAGCACTTGCAAAGAATTTTTTGGCGTTATTGCTATCCGTCAAAAAAACATCTAGAATTTTATTCGCTTTTGCTTTACTGCCCCATTTGTTATTATGTATAAAGTGACGCCAGCAATAATGCTAAGACTCGAGTAATCAGGAAAAATACCCACACAAGTGCATATATTCATTGTCAGGGTAAACCAAAAAAATGCATTTATTTCGTCAGATATGCTGCTGATATGCATTCTTTTATATTTAAACCAGAATTAAAAAGCCTCACCCAAATTTAAATACGTCAATTAATCCTCAAATCATCCTAATTTGTGTAAAACTTGACACGTATTAAATAATTATAGTAGTCATTAAGTGCATTTGAATATTTCGACATTTAGAAACAATACCGTGAAGATACAGCTAAAAAAAAAAACTGCCAAATCGTACGCGATGAGCCTTGGTAACTAGGGCACGTCAGACGGTACTCCCAAACAATCATGAACTACTCGCTCCACCTTCTCCAACAAAACCAAGAGATTTTCCTCCTCAGGGAGCAACACGTTGTCTTGCATAGTCCCTCCCCCCAACCCTGTAATCATGACACACTAGCCTACAACAATAGCAGTGTTCTGCTGTAGCCTCTGTTCACCCAGCAGTAAATGGGTACCTGGTTGTTAAACGATTTGGCGGGTCGTATTGCTGGGGAAAATTAGGATTAAGGACCTGCCCGAAATGCTATGCGTGCTTTACAAGAATGTAAGAGCTCTTGTATATATAAATAAAAAAAGTGGTAAATACGGCCGCTACGCTTGTATTGTTGGCTGACACATCTCTCATTTACCCGGAGGGAAATCAATAGAGGTGTTTTAACAAGCAGATATCATGCAACCGTTCTACAGTACAGTGTAATGTGTCTGTATAATTTTAGAGTATATTTATCCAGTGTAATGAATTTGTAATTGTTAAAAGACAAAGTTTCTCAGCACTTTACAAAGATAAATAGAAACCAGATGGTAAATGGAACAGGTACGTGGTACAGTGCCCAGTGCACGCGGTACAGTGCCCCCAGTGTCTCTGCATGCGGTACAGTGCCCCCAGTGTCTCTGCATGCGGTACAGTGCCCCCAGCGCCTCTCTGCATGCGGTACAGTGCCCCAGCTCCTTCCTGCACGCGGTACAGTGCCCCCAGCGCCTCCCTGGACGCGGTACAGTGCCCCCAGCGCCTCCCTGGACGCGGTACAGTGCCCCCAGCGCCTCCCTGGACGCGGTACAGTGCCCCCAGCGCCTCCCTGCACGCGGTACAGTGCCCCCAGCGCCTCCCTGGACGCGGTACAGTGCCCCCAGCGCCTCCCTGCACGCGGTACAGTGCCCCCAGCGCCTCCCTGCACGCGGTACAGTGCCCCCAGCGCCTCCCTGGACGCGGTACAGTGCCCCCAGCACCACCATGCACGCGGTACAGTGCCCCCAGCACCACCATGCACGCGGTACAGTGCCCCCAGCACCACCATGCACGCGGTACAGTGCCCCCAGCACCACCATGCACGCGGTACAGTGCCCCCAGCACCACCATGCACGCGGTACAGTGCCCCCAGCACCACCATGCACGCGGTACAGTGCCCCCAGCACCACCATGCACGCGGTACAGTGCCCCCAGCACCACCATGCACGCGGTACAGTGCCCCCAGC